ATATATATATATATATATATATACATATATATGTATGCATGTATGTATGCATGTATGTATGCATGTATGCATGTATGTATGCATGTATGTATGCATGTATGTATGCATGTATGTATGCATGTATGTATGTATGTATGCATGTATGTATGCATGTATGTATGTATGTATGTATTTTGTTCCCCAGCAAGCTAAATATTATTGTTTTCACTTTGAAGATTTTGCTTGTTTTAAGAAAACAAACTTAATGTTTTCCTGAAATCAAAACATTCAATGTTTTTTACTTGTCTAGAAAATGCTTCAAGATTAAAGTATTTTTTGTGAAATTCAGACTAGAAATAACACAAAAGTAAGAAATGCTATTTGGTTTGAATTTGGTAATTGTCAGAAAAGCCTAATTTAGTAGAATCCTGATGGTCCATCAATGCAAACACAAACACACCATGGCAATGTAGTTGTAGTTCTGAATGATCTGTCGTATCTTCCTCATCTCCTCCTCCACATTGCTGGCCCAGACCTCGCAGATAATTTGACTGGTATCTGCAAGTGCGGCTGGCATGATGATGATGAAGGCAGAGGAACCAATTCGAGAATCCCAGAGGTCCTGCACAGCCAAAAAGAAACTCTGTCAGGAAGAGCAAATTGAGTTAATGAGCTTTAAAATCAATTCTCTTGGAAATTACTCCTATTTTAAACAAAGTATAAAAATCTTTTAAATTACATGGCGATTATTGAAGGATAGAGATCAATGTTTAAAAAGACTACCTAGGAGATTTAAATAATGAGTTTATTAGTAGAATACTCCATGTATCTGCATTAATAACACGACGGGTGAAATTAAATCAACAACTGGAAAGTGTTTGTTTAATAACAGCAAATCTTCCAATAAAAACTTGAATTAATTAAATGTGAAACGCTAATAAACGTAAAGATTCTTTAATATCAAAGCATTTTAGGCGAATATTCACATATCTACCAAATGACAAGCTGATTTTACTAATGAACTTTCAGAATAAACTGTCTTTATCTAATTAAACCTCTTAACTATTCAAATAAGACGTCGGTCATATTAAGTTAGGCAGAGAAGCAAATTAACCATGATTATTGGTAGATGGGTTTGTAACTATTAGCCTAAAATGCTAGCTTCCGCTGCCTTCATCCTAACAAGCGACATTTCAATACAAGCGAAACTATAAAACCCACATAAACAACATCATACGACGGAATACAAAGAGGAATGGTTACCTGGTAAAGTAGAGCTGTTAAACGGGGATGTAAAAGAGGCTGTGCTGATGGAGAGTTAGCAGCGACTCTAAACAGATACACAGCGCGCTGCTTCCGGTCCTGGGGGATTGTGGGAAAACACCCGCCAAAAGTAGAGCCTTTCAATCATAATGCAGAGCCACGGGAGTGTTTATAAACCTACAAGCTACTCGTCAAGATATGGACGATATTTTCTTATAGTCAGAATTATTAGAGCCCCTCTGTTTATTTTTTTTCTTTAATTTCTGTTTAACGGAGAGCCCCTCTGTTTATTTTTTTTCTTTAATTTCTGTTTAACGGAGAGATTTTTTTTTCAACACACATAGTTTTTCAAACAATAGTTTTAATAACTCATTTCTAATAACGGATTTATTTTAACTTAAATGGCCCACCCTGTATATTATATAGGCCTTTCTCAAAAAGCATATATGTAATTAATTGCCAAAAAACTCATGTAAACTTCTTATATTATTGTTTGCAACAGCACTTATCTATTGTAATAGCTATTTTATGTATTTTATGTGTTGTGTATAAAAGAGGACTCGCGTTTTATGGCATCATTGCAATGATTTACTGAAAGTTTCTCTTGTAGATTTGTCATAAATACATACATTTTACTATTAGGAACTGCACACAATCATATATGCACATGTAATTAAATAATATTAATATTTTAATGTATATGCTGTGTTCACAATATAGGACTATGTTAATGTCCTTGGCTACTTTTACATTAAATATAAATTCATTTATATGAATCTATAGATGCTTTTTTTCAATATTTAAAAAAAAACATCCAAAAAGCCCCCAAATTCAGTTAAACTGGTAAATACTTGTTATACATCATCTAAGACAAATAAAACAATATATTGTATTTCCACAAACAAATATACACAAATACACTAAGTATTGTGGCCTATCCAAGTTTTAAGAACAACAAATAATAACTTGACTTCTAGTTGATCATTTGCTATCAGGAGTGGCTGATATGAAAGGCAAATGCTTCTAGAATACACTTATTTTACAAAAATAAAACATGATCATGCCTTGATTTTCAATGATTCAATTAGGACAATAAGGTCTGACTATGCTTGGACTAATGTCTTGTCACTTAACACAAATAATGTACAGTATAGAATATAAAGTAATGGACTGCATCCATACATCTCTGCAATGACTCGAATACAGTGACCTATTAATAGTCAACTGGAATGACAAAGAAAGTGTTCTTGCAGGACTCCCAGAGCTCATCAAGATTTATTGAATTCATCTTCAATGCCTCCTCCTTCATATTACCCCAGAAGTGCTCAATAATGTTCATGTCTGGTGACCGGGCTGGCCAATCCTGGAGCACCTTGACCTTCTTCGCTTGCAGGAACTTTGATGTGGAGGCTGAAGTATGAGAAGGCGAATATTCTGCTGAAGATTTTGCCCTGTCCTGTGGTTTGTAATGCAATGAGCAGCACAAATGTCTTTGATACCTCAGGCTATTGTTGCCATCCATTCTGCAGAATGAGAGAGTTACTGTTAAAGTAACTGAGTAAAATGAGTTACCATTAAAGTAACTGAGTTAACTGGAGTTATTGGTAAAGTAACTGAGTTAAACTGAGGTACCGTTAAAGTACCTGAGTTAAAGTAACTGAGTTAAACTGAGTTTCTTTTAAAATAACTGAGTTAAACTGAGATACTGTTAAAGGAACTGAGTTACTGTCAAAGTAACTAAGTTAACTGAAGTTACTGGTAAAGTAACCGAGTTAAACTGAGTTACCATTAAAGTAATTTAGTTAAACTGAGGTACCATTAAAGTAACTGCGTTAAACTGAGGTACCTTTAAAGTAACTTAGTTAAACTGAGGTACCGTTAAAGCAGGGGTCACCAATCAGGGTTCTGGAGGGCCGGTGTCCCTGCAACGTTTAGCTCTAACTTGCCTCAACACACCTGCTTGGATGTTTCAAGTATACCTAGTAGGACGTTGATTAGCTTGTTCAGGTGTGTTTGATTAGGGTTAGAGCTAAAATCTGCAGGACACCGGCCCTCCAGGTACAAGTTTGACAACTGCGTTAAAGGAACTGAGTTATTGTTAAAGTAATTGAGTTATCGTTAAAGGAACTGAGTTATCGTTAAAGGAACTGAATTAAAGTAACCGAGTTAAAAATAAGAAAGCTATTTCTGACTAGCGTTGAACATAGCAGTACAAAAATGAGACGGTATAACAAACACACACAAAACATTGTAAAGATTAGAAGAGAAGAACTTTTTTTATATTTGTTGTGAAACTACAAAACATATTCTTGTGCTGGTGATATATTTACAATTCTGGTTGACAGTACAGTGTCGATGATAAAATTCACAGCTTTCAGAAGTCTCACAAGAAAAGGAAAGACAGCACACCCAAATCACAAAAAGTGCAATAAATACAAGCTGTACTTCTTAAACCGTCACTGTGATCAGATCAGGTTCGATTTCCATCATTAATACAAGATTTTAAAAAAAAATTCAGAATAAAAGTCCTACTGTGAACAATAAACAATCATTCATGACTACCAGCATCAGATACTGACAGTATTTTTTTCCTTTTGATTATTTTAAGCAAGTATCACATGATTTATGCATGACTGGACCAAGAGTCCAAATAAAAAATACAAAAAGCCAAATATGTACGTCCTTATGAACCTCAGAATGGAGTTGAAGAGCACCAACTCGATCCATACAACTCTTTCTCCAACACATACTGTGAACGGCGGCATACTGTACGACCAGTGAAAGCATTAGACACTTGCTCGTATACTCTCAGATTGAACTAAACCGTAGTGTTTCCAGGTAAAAAGTACAGGGACCTATTGTTTTTTGCTTACATTCAATTAAGGTAAAATCTGTAAATCTGGTAAAAATGTTAAAAAACGGTACCTTAATTAGTGAAAATAAAATACACATCGCACAGAGTGTAGTCTACGTTTGGCAGTGTCTTAAAGATACAGTCCAACCGAAAATGAAAATTCTGTCATTTTCCAAACCTGTTTGAGATTATTCATTCAATCATTTTCCTTCAGCTTAGTGTCTATTTTTTAAAGGCCACCGCAGTGGAATGAACCACCAACTAAGGTTGGCACAATACTTGAGTTTGGTACCAATCGATACAGAAATTTTAAAAACTTCCATTTCCGCTAACATTTGAGCTCAACCGAAATGACTATGATTGGCTGTAAAGGTCATCAGTTTACCGCTGTTGAGTATAAACACAGATACAGGAAACATTTTAAAGTTGCAATTCATCAGCGGATCGCTCTTATGTCAGCTTATACACAAAACAGCTGATCGTCTTGACTTTAAACGGTTGAATTCCAGAATCGCGACAACCCTATCAGCAATAATTCCAGCATATGGTTTACGCAGCCGATCACTCCCTTCCAGCTGCAAGCCAGCATTGGGAAATACTCATACACTCTCATTCACACATGCACTTATACACTACAGCCAATTTAGTTTATTCAATTCACCTTAGCGCATGTATTTGGACTGTGAGGAGCACCTGGAGGGAAGCCACACAGAAATGCCAACTGGCCCAGCCAGGACTCGAACCAGTGATCTTCTTGCTGTGAGGCGACAGTGCTAACAACTGAGCCACCATGCTGCCCTCGTTTGAGTTTATTTCATCTGACATAAACACAAAATTTATATATATTTTGAAGAATGTTTGTAGCTTCCATAGTAGGAAATAAAATTCTATGGTTAGTCAATGGCTGTTACCAACATTCTTTGAAATATCTTATTTTGTTTTGAACAGAAAAAAAGGAAACTCATACAGGTTTGAAACTGTTGATTGTAAATAAGGGGCCATTCACAAAGAATTTTACCATTCTAGTGTGTTACTTTTCTATTGTTTTGATATATGAACATGCTCGATCTTTATGCTCCCATGTCACGTCTTTTGTGGTCGCGTTTTTCAAAGTTACACGACTCATAGCTCATTAATGTTGATTGCAAAGCAGTGGACCAATCAGAAGAACTCAGAGGCGGGGAAACCACTGCAAGCTTCTGTTTACAGTAGCAAGTTGGTATGACAACTGATTCACGTCAACAAAGGTGGCGCTTTAAAAACAAACAAAGAACTGTTTTGTAGTTGTGTCTCATTTCATAGGCTGCATCCTACGAAGGATGCATTCGAAGTGCACTGCGTCATCGCAGTGCGACGAAGGCTGTCTTAAATCAAATAAATCCGAAGGCTTCTTTAAACGCAGCCTCGAATTGCATCCTTCGTTTTCCAGGTACTGAAGGACACAACCGGTGGATCCTTCGCGGCCTTGAACGTCCCAAGATTTATTGGGTGCTGATAACGGCAGGACGTTTTTAAAAGAAGTTTTTTTTTTATGTGGATATCTAAACACATGTTAAAAAACAAAAAGAGTATGACATGTCTTACTAAAGAGTGATTTTATAGACTGCTTACATGTTTATGTGTATGGATCAATATATATATATATATATATATATATATTGTTATATAGATTAAACATATATTTCCAGCTTTTATAAACCTTATTTTGCCTTCAGATCGCTTAAAATAAGTTTTAAAATCACTTAAATATATAAAAAGTTTTTAAAAAAATTATCAGCGCTTATTAACACCAGATGTAACAGTTGCCTGGTGACAAGATTTGTCCTTTGTAGGCAAGATTGTCTCATTTCAAGACGCTCGGTTCAGCCTGTGTGGACTTCGAAGGACTCCCCTTTGAAGTGTGCATCCTTCGGAGGATGCAGCCTCTGAAATGAGACACAGCTTATAGAATATACAAGACATGTCACTCGTTTTGAATAGGGAAAAGTCTAACGGTCAATATGGTGAATGAAGCCCCGCCTTCAAGTACAGGAGCCAATCAGCCATCGCTATAGAATGACGAATCTCAAGGGTAGGGACTCGAACCAGTCGGGAGTTTCTGCAGATTTTGTGCGATTCGGACGTTTGTAAAAGACACTAAGAACACAGTTGTTGTTGTTTAATTTTAATCGGAGTTCCTAAAATTAAATTTTATTGTCAGACTGAATGCCCGAGCAAACTACCCGAGAGGTGTTTCAAAGATGACCTGACTTTGTCTGCGTGAAATGTTCCTAAATTGACATTTTTGAGTGAACTGTCTCTTTAACTGGGTCTAAACAGCGAGAATAATGCCTATAAAGATCAAAAATAAAAACAAATAAATGTCTGTACTTTTATAAACTACAGGACCTATACGAGAAAAATGTGTCGCAGAAAACAAAACAACAGAGTATAACAGCTTTAAAAAGAGGCTTCTATTTGAATTCAATATTTGGCTACAAGCTTTAGGACAGCATTTTACACATGGGTTGTAAATGTTGTTATAATGCACCACAACCAAAGTATACATGCAATCTCCATCTCCTAAACTAATTTTAGAGAGATGTCAGGGTTTTCGTATCAAGAGTGCTGCCAAAAATAAAATACAAACTCCAGTTCTCCACTAGGTGGAGCAACAGACCAGAGAACGTAAATGAGCATTGCAGATGGGATCATTGTAGGGATCAGTACCAGATTTCACACTAGTTTCAGACACTGTACTATCCTTTTGAAGCACATCAAGGTTCGCTATGGAAAACAGTTTAACATTAGACCAATAAAATGTACTAATATCTATTTTCATGCTATTAATACTTTTTAAGACACTAGTTTCTTTCCCTTTAAGTACTAGAGCTTATTTAATATCTACTAGTGATACTACTACACAGTTCTTATTCATCAGACAGTAGTAACTATTAAACCAGTACTTGAAGAGCTAGTATTTCTTTCAGCATTGAGTAGTAATTATTATATTGTTCCCGCATTGACTTCAATGAGACTTCAATGAGATATTAACTATTTAGTTTTGAATAGTTATGAATTCCAGTTGTGCCTAGTAAATATTTTTACATACTATTAATTAAATATCAGATAGGTAGTAGCGTTGAATACGTAGCTGCTGATCAATAAGTACTATGTAATGAGTAAGTGCAAATAAATAGAAAGTAGACAGATAAAAGTAATTATCAATGTAATAGGTACAAGTATCCAAAGAGTATAAGTTGCTGGATAAATAACTATTAGTATATAAAATAATTACCTGTAAAAAGTGGAATACATACTAGTCAAAATCAAGTGTTGACATTCGTTAATGCAACTTGTCACGACGGAAATAAATACTAGCTCCTAATTAATAAATCCTAGCATTTATCTAATAGGTGATAGTTTCAAATAAAAAAGTAATAGTAGCTAATAACAAGTACCAGTATCTAATGAAGAAGCACTAGTATGTGCATAATGAGAACAAGTATCTAATAAATAGGTACTAGTTGCCTACCTAATGTAAAAGCACTTGTAACAAATACAGTATCTAACGAATAAGAACTAGTGTCTTTTAAAAAGGTATTAATTGTTAGCATCTTCCACATGTAAATAGTAGTTAATGCATTTAAGAAACACTCCACCTTTTTTTGGGGAGGTGGTGGATACAAGTCCCCTAAAATTACCTCCAGGTCTGGCAGCAGCACTTTTAGCGAAGCTTAGCATAAATCACTAAATCAGCATCTTTCTTAAAAAATTGTCAAAAAAGACTTTCGATGATTTTCTTATTTAAAACTTGACTCTTCTGTAGTTACATGATATACTGAGACCAACCTAATATGAAAAGGTGCTATTTTCAAGGCTGATATGGCTAGGAACTATACTATCACTCAGGCACGATGATATTAGCAGCACCTAAAAATAGTCTAAGCTTATTAAACTGAGTTACCGTTAAAGTAACTGAGTTAAACTGAGTTACCGTTAAAGTAACTGAGTTACACTGAGTTACTGTTAAAGAAACTGAGTTAAAGTAACTGAGTTAAACTGAGTTACTGTTAAAGGAACTAAGTTAAAGTAACTGAGTTACACTGAGTTACATTTAAAGTAACTGAGTTAAAGTAACTGAGTTAAAGTAACTGAGTTAAACTGTGGTACCGTTAAAGTAACTGAGTTAAAGTAACTGAGATAAAGTAACTAAGTTAAACTGAGTTACTGTTAAAGTAACTGAGTTAAACTGAGTTACCTTTAAATTAACTGAGTTAAAGTAACTAAAAGTTAAACTGAGGTACTGTTAAAATAACTGAGTCAAAGTAACTGAGTTAAACTGAGTTACTGTAAAAAGAAACTGAGTTAAAGTAACTGAGTTAAACTGTGGTACCGTTAAAGTAACTGAGTTAAAGTAACTGAGTTAAACTTAGTTCCCGTTAAAGTAACTGAGTTAAAGTAACTGAGTTAAACTGAGTTACTGTAAAGGAACTAAGTTAAAGTAACTGAGTTACACTGAGTTACATTTAAAGTAACTGAGTTAAAGTAACTGAGTTAAAGTAACTGAGTTAAACTGTGGTACCGTTAAAGTAACGGAGTTAAACTGTGGTACCGTTAAAGTAACTGAGTTAAAGTAACTGAGATAAAGTAACTAAGTTAAACTGAGTTACTGTTAAAGTAACTGAGTTAAACTGAGTTACTGTTAAAAGAAACTGAGTTAAAGTAACTGAGTTAAACTGAGTTACCTTTAAAGTAACTGAGTTAAAGTAACTAAACGTTAAACTGAGGCACCGTAAAAATAAATGAGTCAAAGTAACTGAGTTAAACTGAGTTACAGTTACTTTAACAGTAACTCAGTTTAACTCAGTTGCTTTAACTACTTTGACAGTAACTGAGTTAAAAATAAGAAAGCTATTTCTATCTTATTTACATAAAAATAGTCCCCAGCTAGATATCTAGCTGCGTAATATAATTGCACCTGCTGCAGCAATGGTACAGCAACAAAGTTCCTTGATTATTACGCTGGAATGACAATATAGTTCCAAGCCAAATCAACCTAGAAAGCAGAACTCTTTACTTTCCATCGGACTTAGCACACAATGTAACTACAGAAGATACAAGCTTTTAATAGGAAAAATATCAAAACTCTTATTTTATATATTTTATTATCTTATTATATATATATATATATTTATATATATAGTTTTGTTTTCTTTTTGAGTGAGATGCTAACGTTCTAATCTGACTGAATGTTTTATGCTAAGCTAAAAGTACTCTAGCCAGACCAGGAGATCAGCTGATTGGATTCAAAAACGGTAAAACTCGCAAAGTCTTTTTCCAAAAACAAATAAATAATGTTCTTTTAAATGTTAAAACAGCTTTCCACAGTCTTTTTCATCCAAACATGTTCTTATAAGCAATATAATGAATGTTGAAATATTGCTACAGCAGCTCAAACAACATTACTACCTAATATGAGGCTGAGCAAAAAGACAGAAAAAAAAGATTGAATAATGAAGCATGAGAGGATCTCATTATAAACGTAACGTATAAAGTAAACCAACAGGGGACCAAATACATGTGAACCAAATCAACTCATATGAAGTGTAGGAATTTGTTGGACGTGAGCAAACAAAAATACTCAATTATGCTGGTAATGCCATCCTTGACTGTGCCAAAAAACCATTTCAGCTCACACGAACTACAGATTCTTGTTTTTAAGTGCTACTTTCAGATAAACAACTTGGCCTGTGATGCAAAGCTACAGGTATATTTGAAAGGGATTTTAATGAAGTGGAAAAGGCATTCATAGTCATCTACTATCAACTCGAAAAATGAAAACATTTGCATTAAGATGAAGAGTTTAGAGAAAATCAATATTAGATTAGTCGTTCGTTTACATAGCGCAAGTCACCGGCGATTCTTTTCTGACTCTAAATGCTACACAGACGATACATTATTAAGCGTTTACAGCAAGTGCGGGGAATTCTCAACAGCTTTCAGTGCCCCAGATGTTTTCACTGCTGCAGTAATGTACAGATTTCAAAGGTGTGCTTTATAAATGGGTAAATCTCACAGAAATAAACCATGTTTTTCCAGAAAAAACAAAAAACAAAATGTTTTTTAATGCAATTTGATATAAATTTCATGGCATTTCTCGCCAAGTACCTTTAATACAGAACTACGTTTTTTCTTTTCCATTATAGAGAAAAGAAATCAACAAGAGAGCTTAATTATATATACACTACCTGACAAAAGTCTTGTCACCTATACGTTTTAGGAACACCAAATAATAGCTTGACTTCTAGTTGATCGTGTAGTTGATTCTTTGGTATCAGAAGGGGCTTATACAAAAGGCAAAATCCTCTCGATTACGCTTATTTTACCAAAATAAAATACGATCATGCCTTGATTTTTAATTATTTAATTAGGACAGTAAGGTCTGACTTTGCTTACACAAAAGTCTTGTAACTTAACAGAAATAATGTACAGTACATAATGTAAAGTATTGCTGCAGTGGAAAAAGAATGAATATTGTGTCTGACTCCCATGAGCTTGGAGGACTGCATCCATACATCTCTGCAGTGACTCAAACAACTTATTATTAAAGTCAAAGAAAGGCAAAGAAAGCGTTCTTGCAGGACTCCCAGAGTTCATCAAGATTCTTTGGATTGATCTTCAATGCCTCCTCCATATTACCCCAGACCCACTCAATAATGTTCATGTCTGGTGACTGGGCTGGCCAATTCTGCAGCACCTTGACCTTCTTTGCTTGCAGGAATTTTTATGTGGAGGCTGATGTATGAGAATGATTGCTACCCTGCTGAAGATCTTGCCCTCTCCTGTGATTTGTTATTATTTGTTGCTCTTAAAACTGGGATCGACAACAACTTTTGTCAGGTAGTGTACACAAACACATTTTAATATTTTAATTACATACAGTTCAGAATAATTATGTCTTTACTTGCATTTTAAAGGCTTTGTCTGTACATGTAAGTCACTTAAAATATCTAAAGCCTCTTTGACCTATATTTATAGTCTCTATATACATATATACAGTGCATCAGGAAAGTACTGATAGCGCTTCACTTTTTCCACATTTTTTATGTGACAGCCTTATTCCAAAATTGATTCAATTCATTTATTTCCTCAAAATTCTACACTCAGTACCCCATAATGACAATGTGGAAAAAAAAGATTTTTTTTAAATGGTTACAAATTTATTAAAAATAAAAAACCTGAAAAATCACATGTACATAAGTATTAACACTTTTTGCCGTAAAGCTATAAATTGAGCTCAGGTACATTCTGTTTCCACTGATCATTCTTGAGATGTTTCAGCAGCTTAACTGGAGTTAACCTGGGGTAAATTGAGTTGATTGGACATGATTTGGAAAGGCATACACCTTTCTATATAAGGTCCCTGGGTTGACAGTGCATGTCAAAGCACAAACCAAGCATGAAGACAAAGGAATGACCTCCAAGACAGGATTGTCTCAAGGCACAAGGTTGGGGAAGGTTACAGAAAAAATTCTGCTGCTCTGAAAGTTCCAATGAGGACAGTGCAAGTTGTTTGGAACCAGCAGGACTCTTCCTAGAGCTGGCCGGCCATCTAAGCTGAGTGATAAGAGGAGAAGGGCCTTAGTCAGGGAGGTGATCAATAACCCAATGGTCACTCTGTCTGAGCTCCAACGTTCTTCTGTGGAGAGAGGAGAACTTACAGAAGGACAACCATCTGTGCAGCAATACACCAATCAGGCCTGTATGATAGAGTGGCCAGACGGAAGCCACTCCTGGAGTTCGCCTAAGGGCATCTGAAGGACTCTCAGAACATAAGAAACAAAATTCTCTGGTCTGATGAGACTAAAATGGAACTCTTTGGAGTGAATGCCAGGCGTTATGTTTGGAGAAAACCAGGCAACGCTCATCACCAGGCTAATACCATCCCTACAGTGAGGCATGGTGGTGGCAGCATCATGCTGTGGGGATGTTTTTCAGCAGCAGAAACCGGAAGACTAGTCAAGATAGGGGGAAAGATGAATGCAGCAATGTACAGAGACATCCTGAACAAAAACCTGCTTCAGAGTGCTCTTGACCTCAGACTGGCGCGACGGTTCATCTTCCAACAGGACAATGGCTCAAAGAACACTACCGGTTTTAATTTTAAATAAATCTTGTTTCACATTGTCATTATGGGTTATTGCGTGTAGAATCTTGAGGAAATAAATGAATTTAATCCATTTTACAATAAGGCTGTAACATAAAAAAAAGTGTTGAAAAAGTAAAGGGCTATTAATACTTTCCTGATGCATTGAAATATACTTATGTTGTTAGCATCCACAGTATATAAAAAATTAAATATATGCAAATATTTTCAATTCACACGTAAAAACTAAACAGTGAATAGTCAATGTGTGGGAGTATTTACTGGTAATGTCAATAATTGTAATTGTAAAAAAATGTCAAAATTCTATATTTATTTATTTATTTATTTATTTATTTATTTATTTATTTATAATACTGTTTTCAATACTCCCACATCTCATGACTTTCACATGTGATCCTATGGGTTTATGGTGGGATTTTAAATGGGATTGACACAAAATGTTTCCAATGTGCATATAACGAATGAGTTTAAAATGTGTCTTGAGACATTCGCGTAAGGGATTGCAAACAACATTTTTCATTAGTTTTTGCAAATTGTATTTAAAATATATTTCCTTTTCTGTGTCTTTTGTTTATTAGGTCTAATATGATCCATTTTTGTGAGATTCAACCCACTAAAAGCTCTGTCAGGTTGAAATAAAATCATAATAATAATATAATAAATCAAAAATTCATTAATATTTGGCTTTGACATTAAACGATGCTACTGTTCATGTTCATTCGCACACACAAAGCTAACATGTTGACGGATGTGAGGGTGTTTTTCAAATAAAAGAGATCCAAATCATTCACTAATCCAAACTATTACAATACGCCGCCGAGAAAAACACATTCGATAGAGGCGATTTGCCGGAAATCACGAGTTTCACATCAATAACACTCACAACACCACCTTTGCGTTCACAATGTGCTTTTTGTTTTGCTCTATATCAATGCCTTTTTTCTATTAAAGTGCATGAACTATCTGACATTCTACCTGAGAGTCTGTGGAGCTAAGTGCAGTTTCTACATCGATTTATATTCGCACTATCCCGTGTCTCGTTTGCAAGTGCGATTAACAAAACGAACACGCTGTTAGCAATCAATTTAGGCTACTAACCGGTCTAGTTTACTCATCATGCTTTAGTTTCATGCATCTGTAAGCATTTACACATCTGCAAAACAAAAGAATGGAAACGAGAACAGATGTGCTTTGTTTATAAAGGAACGTGACTAAGGATTTCTGCCAGTTCATTTCGCCAAAAAGGTAAGAGTCCTGAACCCTTGTGCTATAGATAAAAATAGTACCGTAAATATCTGTATTCACATCATCAAGAGATACAGTACACAGTCCAGCTTGATGTATTGAATGACCACTAAAATACCTAGCACAGATGCCGACATACACTTATTAGTAACAGAACGTGGTGAAATTTAAAAAATAAATCTATCTAAAAACAAAAAATAAAAACGGATCTATACAATTTCAGTTGAGCGTTAAAACCCAGTGTTTTCAAATGACGTTTCCTGCCCTACATACATTTTCCTGTCACACCATTCTTCATAATACCGCCAGATGTCAGTTTTCGCCTCCAAATGAGACATAAAGATGGATTATCTTCTACACATCGTCCGCTGGTAGGTCGGGAACGTTTATCTTCGCTCTGGTGAAGAAGGCCATCTTCTCTCTGAAAGAGGTTACAGCAGACATTGTGTTAGATAGAAAATGTCTGTTCGACTTTTTTACATGATGTTAGATGTGTAATCCCTGTTTAAAAGCATAGCTGTAAGGGCAATATCATAATCAGCGTTTCTGCAGGTTTCACAAAGTCCGATTTAAGAGCTTTTTAAGACCATTATGAATAAAATTTCAGACTTATATGGGGTTGACTACTAAACATTTTTTAACGGCCAGTAGAAAACATTTTTAATGATCCCCTCTAAAAAAAAAACTAATTTTATTATTTCTTAGCCACATATTTTCAATAATGTGTCAAAACAAGCAAACTCTGGTTGTACAGTGCATCCAGAAAGTATTTATAGCGATTCCAAAATGGATTAAACTCAATGATTTCCTCAAAATTCTACACACCCCATAATGACAATGTGAAAAAAAATTGTTGAAAATGAAAAGCTGAAAAATCACATGTACATCAGTATTCTCAGCTTTTGCTCGATGCTTTGTTGATAACTTTGGCAGTGATTACAGCCTCAAGTCTTTTTGAATATGATGCCACAAGCTTGTCACACCTGTCTTTGGAAATTTTTGCCCATTCCTCTTTGCAGTACCTCTCCAGCTCTATCAGGTTGCATGGGTAGCGACAGTGTACAGCCATTTTCAGATCTCTCCAGAGATGTTTAATAGGATTTGGGTCTGGGCTCTGGCTAGGCCACTCAAAGACATTCGCCGAGATGTTGTAAAGCCTGAGGTCAAGAACACTCTGAAGCAGGTTTTTATTCAGGATGTCTCTGTATATTGCTGCATTCATCTTTCGCTCTATCTTGACTAGTCTTCCAGTTCCTGCTGCTGAAAAACCACCATGCACCATGCTTCACTGTAGGGATAGTATTAGCCTGGTGATGAGCGTTGCCTGGTTTTCTCCAAACATAACGCCTGGCATTCACTCCAAAGAGTTTATTTTAGTCTCATCAGACCTGAGAACTTTGTTTCATATGGTCTTTCTTATGGTTCTTATGGTTGAGTCCTTCAGATGCCTTTTGGCTAATTCCAGGCAGGGAGTGGCTTCAGTCTGGCCACTTTACCATACAGGCCTGTACATTGCTGCACAGATGGTTGTCCTTCTGTAAGGTTCTCCTCTCTCCACAGAAGAACGTTGGAGCTTAGACAGAGTGACCATCGGGTTATTAATCACCTCCCTGACTAAAGCCCTTCTTCCCCGATCACTCAGCTTAGATGGCCGGCCAGCTCTAGGAAGAGTCCTGTTGGTTCCAAACATCTTCCACTTACAGATGATGGAGTCCACTGTGCTCATTTGAACTTTCAGAGCAGCGAAAATTTTTCAGTAATCTTCCCTAGCCTTATGGCTCGAGACAATCCTGTCTCGGATATCTACAGACAATTCCTTTGTCTTCATGCTTGGTTTGTGCTTTGGCATGCACTGTCAACCCTGGGACCTTATATAGACAGGTGTATGCCTTTTCAAATCATGTCCAATCAACTGAATTTAGCACAGGTGAACTCCAATTAAGCTGCTGAAACATCTCAAGAATGATCAGTGGAAACAGAATGTACCTGAGCTCAATTTAGAGCTTCACGGCAAAACCTGAGAATACTCCTGTACATGTGATTTTTCAGGTTTTTATTTTTAATAAATTTGCAACAATTAAAAATTCTCATTGTAATTATGGGGTGTTGTGTAAAGAATTTTAAGGAAATAAATAAATATAATTAATTTTGGAATAAGGCTGTATCCTATAAGAATGTGGAAAAAGTGAAGTGCTATGAATACTTTCCGGATGCACTGTATATATGTAGACTTTTTAATAACTTTTAAGGGCCCTCATTTTCTCATAATGTATTTATCAACTTTTAATACTTTAAGACCCCGCGGACACCCTGATAATGCATAAACATTTGATCCATGTAAACATATCAAAGGAGGCCTTCAAATCAAAATGAAAAACTTAAAAAGCATAAAAGGGGCTGTGTAAACATGAGCTTCTCCTTTTAAAGGGACAGAGCACAGAAAAAACAGTACACCAATGCTTAGATCATGTTTTGCATAAACAGTAGATAACAGCAGTTACCTAAAGGACTGGACCCCAGGAACCTCCTTGAGGCTCTGTCCACGAATCTTATGTACATCCTTGGCCGCTGCTCTCATCATCTTCTCTACCCTCTTTTCCTGTAGCTGCTCTTCCTGGGTCTGTGCAGACAGTAGCGACTTAAAATCAGAAAGTGTAACAGATTTCTGTATTTGTTGATTGTCAAAATGCTTTGGGACTCACCTGTCTCTCTGCATGTTTGAGCAGCAGACAGAAGCGCTCATCCTCCTGTACCCATGTGGGAAGGACGTGCTGGCCCTGCTGCCGTGCCTTCTCCATCTGTTCCTTAAGCTCCCGCAGCACGCGCAGCTCCTCGGTCAGACGGCTGTGTCGCGTGCGAGTGACCTGCAGGTCTAGCTCCAGATCCAGAGAGGTGCGCAGGAGGCCATCCAGACCTTTGACCTGCATTGGTGGCTGTGGGTGTGAAAGAGAGAATTTTCCTTTAAAAGAGGTCTCATGCTATGGTTTGCTATCAGGTCCATATCTTATTTTTTAAGGGTGTGACAATCCACTGTTCCGAATCCACATGAGTCATAAATCATTAACTTTTTTTAATTGTAGATTAATGGTCATGCACACGTTATCAATATGAGCTCAAGAATTTCCTTATTTCAAATATAGAAACCGAGCTCTCTGGAGAAAGTAAAACCGCTCGCACTTTTAGCAAGCTCCTAAAACAACAGGACACGGCAGATTTTGTTCTTCTTGGCTTTGTGGGTGTTCATCAAGGCCATGTCCGACCATGGCTTGTTATTATATGTATATATTATTACGGTGTAATGTCTCGGCTGTGTTTTTAAAAATGGTCTTTGTTTTCATTTTCGAATCTCTGTAAACCAATAGTGTTCAGTTGTGCGTCTTTCTCAACCTTTTTTCATGCTAGGTAGTAGGGATGTAACGGTATCAGAATTTCACGGTACGGTAATACCTCAGTATGAATGGCATGGTACGGTATTTATTGAATAATTTACAGAAAAAACTAAACTAATGAAAAGACTCGAAAAAAGTGCCAAAAGTGTTTATTTACCTTAGCACTGAACATATCAATGACATACAAATTAGCCATCTTTCTGTAAGTTTCGAAACAGGAACTTCAATTTTTCAATTTTAATAACAAAAAACTATTAAATCATATAAAAAAATAAAGTTTTAATTTAGTTTTTGTTGAACTCATCACATTCAACATTTAATAACTCACTCACTTAGATAGAAATGGGCTTTTAAGGAAAATTATCATATAACTATAATCTGGTAAAAGCTGGGATCTCTGGGCATGTCCCCTGCAACAGAAAAAAAAACCTCTCATTTGGGACTGAGGTTTCTGGGACAGAGAGATATGATTTAGCCAAGGTTGACAGCAGTGGGTAACGTTGTGCATCGTCTTTCCACCACTTGAGAGGGCAAGCCATGAGTGAGATAGAGGTCTCTTTGTGGTACAAGTCAATGTCTGCATCAATCTAACAAGTGTGCTGTGTTCTGCAGTCCCCATGACTGTTTTTAGTCGTATTCCCCGACTTATATTTCACCACAGTCTGGCAGTGCCTGCATACTGTTTTTGTCTTTGTCTGTCACCTTTTCTACTTTTTCGTATCTTTTTAGAAAGAAACCGAAATGCTTCCACACATCCGATTTAAAACCCGCTTTAGGTTCGATCATTTCCAGCTCTTTTTCTTCCCCGCTACTAGCAGCACACTCCATTTCCGCATTACTGGATCTGTAGTAACAACAGATCGCAAAGGATGATGGCCACGCCTAGGCTGATGGGAATTGTAGTTCCCGCTACATCCCGTTCGCTTCATTCGCCTAAGCAAACTTTTCACAGAAAAATTGTTTTATTGAGTCATGCACCTACGGTAATATTGAAAAATATTACTATTGCGGTATGACGGTATTTACAATATTGTTACATCCCTACTAGGTAGCCTTTGTAAAGGGTGATCAAAAAGTGGTACAGTATTATTCGGTTTTAGGTACCCTTTGACAGTGGAAACGACCATAAAAGCGCACTGAACCAAACCATACCGTACCAGACCACTCGGGCCTTAAGAACAGTTCGGTATGGTTACAGTTATATAGGCGATTAAAAATGTCTGGCAGATAACAGTGTAATATTTGTTTTATTTTTTTATTTGTGTTTAAGGACTGGATATCAGTAAAAAAAAAAATAAAAAAATTAACAGAATATATATTCAGATATTCCAGAAAAGGACATGTTTTAAAGAATAGTGTTGGAGATTTAGCCACCCTTTAATGTTCTTATATTTCTGAAAAATATTTGAAGTTATTAAGCAACTGTTTCCTTTTCTGTGAATACTTATGTACTTGTGATTTTTCAGGTTTTTTATTTTTAATAAATTTGCAACAATTTCAAAAAATCTTCTTTCATTGTGTGTAGAATTTTGAGGAAATAAATGAATTTAATCCATTTTGGAATAAGGCTGTTAACATAAAAAAAAGTTGAAAAAGAGAAGCACTATGAATACTTTCTAGATGCACTGTATATTATTATCTTTTCAGAGTAACGCTTTTTTAGAGTGACTCCTGTTCTATATATCATTAAAGTTCTCTCATTAAGGAAACCAACCCTAACTTGCACTTATGCTTATCGTTTTATAAAAGACTAAATGTAGCTTGTCTTCAAGGCACAGTGAGAGCAAACCTGACCTTTCGAGACTATTTAATAGCTGGCGGAGGGGCTTAGCGAACCCATTTTCTCACTGTAAGACTGCTTCATTAACACTAACCTCAGGTCAGCACAGAAATGTCACTATTAAATATTAATCTACTGCTAACAAGCTTAAAGTCCACTTTCTAAAGTAAGTGTTTGACTTTTGGGTTGATGGAATACATGCAATTCAATAAAAAAAAACTAAATAGTAAGAAGTAAACTTCAAGCTTAATGTCGACTTCAGATGAACTGCACATGATGGGTGAATGTGTAATATTTTGTTACCTTCTTCATGCGAACGCTGCGTCTCTCAGAGGCATTCCGGACGAAGGGAGATTTCTTCGACAATGTTGAGCTGTCACTGTCGCTGCGGTTGATCTGGTGATTTAATGAAGGTTAAAAATAGTAATCAAATTAATGAGCTCTAGAACAACTTGTTATATGTAAATGGGTAAAGAATGAAAACAGCTTATGCAGTAAAACAATAAAAATGTAAGATAGCTTTTCTATTTTTTTCATACTTTAGTTGGTAGGTGCACTGATTATTTTATTTCATTTGTCTAATTGGTAGCTACAGCTACAGTGGGTAGCACAATCGCCTCATACCAAGAAGGTCGCTGGTTTGAGCCTCGACTAGGTCAGTTGGCATTTGTGTGGAGTTTGCATGTTCTCCCCGTGCTGGCGTGGGTTTCCTCCGGGTGCTCCCCCACAAGTCAAAAGACTTGTGGTATAGGTGAAATAAGTAAGCTAAATTGGCTGTATTGTATGTCTGTGAATGACTGTGTATGAATGTTTCCCAGTGGTGGGTTGCAGCTGGAAGGGCATTCGCTGAGTAAAACATATGCTGGATAAGTTGGCAGCTTATTCCACTTTGACGACCCTAGATTACTAAAGGGACTAAGCCAAAAAGAAAATGAACGAATGAATGTCTCATTGGTAGAAATCATGAAAAGTCCATCAGTGTAACTATGAGCCAGATTTACTAATGATCGCTTGCTCCAGCGCAATCTTTCTGGCATTACAGTTGCTATTTACTGGGGCGCATGAGTGCATGTACACCTTTGCATGTCAAGGGTTTTTTTCACTGTCTTCTAGTCTTTTACACCCACTGGCCACTTTATTAGGTACACCTGTCCAACTGCTCAATAACACAAATTTCTAATCAGCCAATCACATGGCAGCAACTCAATGCATTTTGGCATGTAAAAATGGTCAGGATGATCTGCTGCAGTTCAAATCGAGCATCAGAATGGGGAAGAAAGGTGATTTAAGTGAATTTGAACGTGGTATCGTCGTTGGTGCCAGAGAGGCTGGTATGAGTATTTCAGAAACTGCTGATTTACTGGAATTTTCACACACAACCATCTCTAGGATTTACAGAGAATGATCTGAAAAAAAGAAAATATCCAGAAAATATGCAGTTCTGTGGGCAGAAATGTTGTCCTTGTTGATGCTAGAGGTCAGAGTGGTTACAGCTGATGAAAAACCAACAGTAACTCAACCACTCAGAAAAGCATCTTTAAACACACAACATGTCGAACCTTGAGGCAGATGGGCTACAGCAGCAGAAAACCACACCAGGTGCCACAGAGGGTCTGCTAATAACAAAAAACTGAGGCTACAATTCACACAAGCTCACCAAAATTGGACAATAGAAGCTTGGAAAAAAGTTGCCTGGTCTGATGAGTCTCGATTTCTGGTACGACATTCTGATGGTAGGGTCAGAATTTGGCATTAACAACATGAAAGCATGCATCTATCCTGCTTTGTATCAACGGTTCAGGTTAAGGGTGGTGTAGTGGTGTGGGGGATATTTTCTTGGCACACTTTGGGCCCATAAGTTTCAATTGAGCATCATGTTAACACCACAGCCTACTCGAGTACTGTTGCTGACCATGCCCATCCCTTTACGACCACAGAGTCTATCTTCTGATGGCTACTTCCAGCAGGATGTCATAAAGCGTGAATCATCTCAGACTGGTTTCTGAACATGACAATGACTTCACTGTACTCAAATGGCCTCCACAGTCACCAGATCTCAATCCAATAGAGCACATTTGGGATGTGGTTTAAAGGGATATTTGCATCATGGAAATGCAGCCGACATATCTGCAGGAACTGCATGATGCTATCATGTCAATATAAACCAAAATCTCTAAGGAATATTTCCAGTACCTTGTTGAATCTATGCCACGAAGGATTAAGGCAGTTCTGAAGGCAAAAGGGGGTCCAACCTGGTACTAGTAAGGGATACCTAATAAAGTGGCCGGTGCGTGCATATTAAGCTTGTCTATTTTGTAAGAAAGCCTCTTCTTTGGCCAATAACTTACTAACTAAATAACTCATTGCCAATAAATATTGCAATGTGAATATAGTTTCAAGGGATCACAATTTTAAAATAGCTCTATTTGATGGTTTTCTGGGAAGTCTAACAATATTTGGGTATAAAAATTAAATTGTCACAATCCAAATATCCAAAGAATTCTTAGACCAAGAAAAAATATAGTTTAGTTTTCATCATCAGAAGAATAAAGCGAAAATTATTTTTTTTTGTTGTTGTTTTTTTTGCTTGTTTTAAGGAAATGATATGCCAGTGGGTTAAGTGAAATAATATTGTTTTTGCTTTCAAATAAAAAAAGACAAAAATTCAGAGTACAATTTTTTTTGCATAAATCATATAAATTCCATATAAACACAGTAATGAATGCAATTCTGTAGATTCTGATCAACTATAATTCAGACTGGACATTGCATATCTTTGCGATGTGATCATTGCTGATGTGCACATTGCGATGAAACGATATATTGTGCAGCCCTGTTCAGCACGTGTGTGTCCCTGTTCTCACCCTGCAGATATACTGGCTCTGAGGTCCAGGTGAAAATGTCTTGGACCTGATGATGGTGTTTCCCCGCATAAAAGGGTTTTGCTGATGAACATCATGTCGCCGCTCCTTGGGCCGAACTACAGAAGTAGAATGAGGGAGACCGTCCATACTAGTCTCTTTATTCACCTTGCAAGACAAAAAAAACCAAAAACAAATATCAGCAAATGTAAAAAAAAATTCCCCAATTTCTGTTCAACAGAGAGAAGATTTTTCCAACACATTTCTAAACATAATAGTTTTAATAACTCATTGCTAATAACTGATTTATTTTATCTTTGCCATGATGACAGTAAATAATATTTGACTAGATATTTTTCAAGACACTTCTATACAGCTTAAAGTGACACTTAAAGGTCTAACTAGGTTAATTAGGTTAACCAGGCAGGTTAGGGTAATTAGGTAAGTTACTGTATAATGATGGTTTGTTCTGTAATTAGCTTAAAGGGGCTAACAATTTTAAAATGGTTCATAAAAAAATAAAACTGCTTTTATTCTAGCCAAAATATATAATAAATAAATAAATAAATATTATCAGACACATTGTGAAAATTGCCTTGCTCTGTTAAACATCATTTGGAAAATATTTTAAAAAGAAAAAAAATGCAAAGGGGGGTTAATAAATCTGATTTTAACTGTATATCAATTCCGATTAAAGCAATGATCATTTTTTAGCCGTGTGAATGAGTAAGCACAAAAACCTTTTCTGCGATAACAGTTGTCGGTCCAGCTTTAAGCGGCTCTTCCTCCTGTTCCCACTGGCAGTCATCAGGGTAAAACTCTTCACCTTCCTCACCATCACTGCCCTCTTCGTCCACAAACACGTCACCCTCTAACGTCTCTGCAGGCCTATCAAATCACATTTGACACATTGGTTATTAAGGCTCAACACAAATCATTTTCTCAAGAAAAGGTGTTTTTGCATCGAAATAACGGGTCAGTTAGTTTTAATGGCTCATAAATAGTTTTTACAGTAGCACAGTACAGTAGTCCCCCCCCCCCCGTATATTTTTATCCCCAATTACTGTTTAACGTTAAGAAGATTCTTTTCAACACATTTCTAAACATAATAGTTTTAATAACTTATCTCTAATAACTAAGATTTATTTTATCTTTGCCATGATGACAGTACATGATATTTTACTAGCTATATTTCCAAGATACTAGCATTCAGCTTAAAGTGACAATTAAAAGCTTAACTAGGCTAAATAGTTTAGGGTAATTAGGCAAGTTATTGTATTAAAGTGGGTTGTTTTGTAGACCAGGGGCCTCATGTACGAAGACTTGTGTGGAAATCTTACTAAAACATTGCGTACGCACAAAGCTGTAAATGTCCGTACGCAGAAAAAAAATCAGATGTATGAAACACTGCGTACGCCGAATCTCACGCATATTCTTTTGTACATCAGAATGAACGTGAAACTGAGCGCAACATGCACGAGCACAAAACCCCTCCCTGCCTCCTCCCCCGTATGAATATGCTAATGACTATGCTAATGGAAAAACCCAACGAAAAAGCAATGGCATAAGCAAGCAAAAAGAGAAACTTTGAACAGAATGTGAATTGGAGGCGATGCTTTCGGAGGTAGACCGGAGAAAAGCGGTGTTATTTGCAAGTTTGTTCTCCAGAATTAACAACAAAAGAAAAAAATAGAGTGGGAGAGTTTAGCTGATGCGGTTAACACAGTTGGGTCTGAACATCGCACTGAGTGCATTAAAAAGAGAAATAGTGTGGTTTTTATCTGTAAAATGTTGCAATACCCTTAGCAGTCTCAGTGGCGCACCTTTTAAGACGCATGTGATCATGTATTGACCTGTTCGAGCATAAACTCGGCTCGAATCCAGCGTCTGATGAACTCTTTCTTCTTTTTTTCCCCGCTACATATCAGATTTTGCCCACTATTTATCACGAGAAAGACAAGTAGGAATCATCAATAAGTTTGTGCATCATATTTTATTTGCACATTTATTGAATGGAAATGTTTCTGATTCACGCATGCAGATTCATCTTCAGATAGTGTCTTTATAGCAATGTGTGTGCAGTAGATCGCTCAGATTACATTGGGAAAACAGGCGACTGCAGCAAATTGTGCAGATTTGCAAATTTAATGTTTAGCTGGTCAAATGTATGGTATGGAAACCTTACATACCTACTAGATGAACCCGTCTCATACAGCTGCCATTGCAAGGCTCAGACACTTTGTAGAGAGGAATTTAATACAACTGCCTCTAGGAGTCGCCAATGGAAATAAAACAGACACGCACAAAAAATGTGCGTACGCCAGCCAGAAAGCTGCCGTGAAGCTGCGCACATTCCCACGTTCAGTTCATTGTTAGTAAATCCAAACGTGAGCGATTCTGAGCGTGAAACCTGGCGTACGCAAAGTATTTGTGCGTACGCAGCGTTGATACATGAGGCCCCAGGGGTTTTCAAACTGAGGGGTGTGCCCCACCAGGGCAGCGGCAGCACCTATTAGGAGGGGCACGAGAATTTGAGGCGTGCACTCGAGTAAATTATGATGACGATTTTTATGCATTCGCTAGAGGGAATATGATTAACGTTACTTCCACAGCTAACTATCAGGCACCTGTAGAGTTAATGTGTTCCAGTAAAATATATACAAATAAAATGGACCGGGAGCTTTTTAAAATGAATGACGGCAAATGAAAGTAAAACCGGTGAGCCACCTGACAAAGAAAAGTGCCCTTCTAAATCAAATCAACAGGATGCTCTTCTGATGTTTCACTTACTTTGAAGATATACTGACTATGCTTACATGGATATCAGCAATAGTTATTTGCCTTAACCTCACTAAGACAAAAATATAATTACATGAAGTGCTTTTTGAATGTTGCATCACCAGGCTACCCACGTTTCATGCAAAGTCTCATTTAACATGATGTTTCATCTTTAATTTTTCGACTTTAACTGCAGTTTGGAAGTTTCACTTTCATTCATGAACATTTCATTCATGCCCCTGTGACAAACTGGGATATTGGATGCAAATATGGAGTAAGGACTGGTGGAAGAGTGTTGTTTTAATGGAATTTGATACCACATTGCGAATGAGCGGAAAAAAACTTCTGCATTTTGTGATGTGTGTGTCTGCGGTCCAGCAGCCGTGTGTGTGGATCTTCTCGCAAAATGCAGCGAAAAGTCCTACAAGACGGTAATAGTTTGATTGCGGTGTTTATTTCAATAATGCCACTAATATATGCATACTCCACGTCTTAATTCCATTTCTGTTTAGTTTAATTATGACTTTAGTCGGATTAGGGTAATCAAAAATCGCTGTTTACATGGTGACTCTTAATAGGAGTATTGTCCTAATCGTATTAAAATCAAATGTAAGTATTGTTGACCATGTAAACATACCCAATTTACTACTCAATCACACATTTTCTGTGTGACATCAAAAGCAAGTATGCTATGGCTAACGCTAATTGAAAGTGGAAGATGATTTAAAGGGGTGGTCCAGAATGTAATTTTGAGGCTTGTTTGTGTTAATAAGATGCAAAACAATGTGTGCTCATGTTTCACTTGAAGGAAATCGTGTTATTTTTTATTAAATCTCACTTTGATTATACACAGCTACTCAGCTAACATGAAAAAGACTGTCATATTTCCTAGTTCCTCTAAAAGGCCCACCCTCAAGTGACTCTGATTGGTCATCATCATAATGTGCTGTAATTCGCCGATCGGCTCCATGTCACGCCCTGACAAGCATGCGCGTTTTGTGTAAACAGTCAGTCAGTCAGTCAGTCAGTCAACACGTGTCTGTAACGAGTAAAAATGGGTTGCGGCTCCTTTAAGTGTTTCTGTGCCTTTTAGTGTGTGTTTATGCGTGTATACGATGAAGAATCTGTAACACGAGAAGCACATGTGTGCGGGAGAGATATTTATTGTTCTTTTTCTCTCATGCTCGGATTAAGTTATTTTCTGTGGTGATAGAATAAAGCACAACATGTGAGATTAGACCTGTGTGAGCCTGGATTAATTTGTTTTTGATGTTACACTCCAGGGGTCCGTTCTTCGTACCTCGCTTAAATGGTCTAAGATTATTTGGCAGATCCCGGATCTTTTAATCTTGATAACTGATCTTTCGCTAATTTGGTTCTTCAAACGAGTTCGCGAATCAGATTAGAATGTCTGGATGAACTGATCTGAGATCGCTGCGTGTGTTGTGAAGGACTGATCTATCGATCCTCGAAATCATGATCAGCAATGCAACGATTGGCTGACGGCACAGCAGCGTAATGACATCATCTGATTAATATTCAATTATCCATGTGAGCAAAATTACATCAAATTAGCAGTTAACGGCTTGTTAAATATGACACGCAATAACCTTCCACATTTGTTGTGTGCTGCAGGCTTTACACTTTCATGTGTCAAGAGTATTCATATGTATTTCAATGCAAATCAGTGTATTTAGTTCCACGTTTAGAAAATATTTTCTTTATTATAGTAGCCATTTTTTAATCGCTGTAAAGAATAACTGGTTGTTTACAAAAGCATTTTCATATTGGTAAAGGCGTCTGAAACTTTTGTGAAGCATCAAATCACCGGCATATTAACTATCAAAACATGTTTATGACTGCATAAATGTATTATTGCTTTAAAAAAAGTCACATATTGTGCATTTCTATTATACACAATTTGGACTAAAGCGATCTAAAAAGTTCATATCAATAAGTTTTCTCTTTGCACCACCAGGTGGCAGTCTTTGTACTTTCATTTCGAGGATGCAGATTGCATACGTTTTATTAATATGTATAACTTAATTTATTTTATTAATGACTATAACTTTATATATCTATATAGTTAAAAAATATGTACCATTTTCCCAAGTCTATATAACTACTACTGTAAGAAAATATCAGAATTCGGAACATACTTTCTGTATTATCTTTGCTTGAACTAAGCCAATCTAATCCTGTTTATATGAATTGAACCTGCTCCCGATCAGGTTTGACCTAGCAGAACTGTTGCCATGACAACAACTCTCGGATCAGCTTTGAAGAACGAAATGATCCTGGATCGTGTCAAATCATCAATATCCAAATCCAGCTAACTGAGTAATCCACGTACGAAGAACGGACCCCAGTTGGGAGAGCATTGCTGTATTTTTTTTAAATCAACGCGTTACAGAACGTCTTTCACGCATATCCGGTATATGCCTGTGTAAGTAACATGAATCGTTCATATATCTTTTGCGACTTTATTGTCCAAGTTGTAAATCTTATCGTAGTGGACCACCCCTTTAAGGTTGGTCATGTCAAAAATCCAACCACAGATAAGCATGTTGTTCTCACAGAAAAAGGCTCAGCCATCACACTGAATCAGGTAAGCTGTATATTTATGTTTCAATGTAATTAATTCTACCCACTTTAAACGCAGCAAGCAATATGTGAAGGATGCTTGCACATGCATTACAATTTTGGCTTGGGGGAAGGGTGCCTGGAGGGCGCAAGTGAAATTGGACAAGCTTGGGGGGGGCATGTGTCCTTAAAGTTTGAAAACCCCTGCTGTAGACAATCAAAATAAAATAATGCTTAAGAGGGCAAATAATATTGACCTTAAAATGGCTTTAAAAAAATTAAATACTGCTTTTAACCCAGCTGAAATTAAACAAATAAGACTTTCTCCAGAAAAAAAAATATATAATAGCAAATACTGTAAAAATGTCCTTGCTCTGTTAAACATCATTTGGGATATATTTTAAAAATGAAAAGAAAAAAAATCACTGGTGGGCTAGCAATTTTGACCAACTATGTGAAGCATCATAAGGGCTATCCTTGAGTAATAAAGCTAATATTGCAGAAACCAAAACACGCTGATATGCTTGCCAATTTTAACGAAACCATTATCGACAGAGGTGTCATGTTTGTTTATGTTCACCCTCTTACAAAGTGCCATGACCACTTGTTATAATTGAGTTCCTGTTAAGCTTAATAAGGCTTCAGTGATCCAGTTTATGTAGTAAATGAAGCAGGTGGTGCAGGTCACAATATTTTGATTCATGACTTTAAAAAAAAAAGATAATATGTTTGGGATTTGGATTATTATAGTTGTGCTTTTTTATGAAGATCTGGCAACTAGGTGCACTCAGTTCTATGTTTCTTTATCGTTTACCATTACTAGGCAGTTGATTGAGGGTTGTGGGCCAAAATATATATACCAAACCTGTATAAGTTAAATTTGCCATTGGTTATGTTGTGAATTTCTCTAGTCTGGCTCACGGCACCAAACTGTTGTAAAATTCTAAGCCCAAAAAACCAGGGAGAAACTTTCGGTATCATCAAAGCAAAATCTTTTTAATAAGAAGAACTCAGCGAGAAATACCAGTTAGTCAAAAACGATTTTTTTCGTTTTCTTCAATTGAGACATTATATCACTAACAGCACAACACTTGTTAAAAATTGTGAGATATCTTCTATTGAGAGGTTATTATTTTTATCATCTGGAAAGATATCTGCGGGTCGATTTTATGCGTCTGTATGCTCAATCCCATCCCCTGATATACAGAGAATTAAAACCAAATGGGAGAAGGAGTTGGTTACTAATATTGATGAGGAAACATGGGATGATATTTGGTCTAATGCTAAGAAAATATCTGTTTGAAAATGTACAAAGGAAATACAATATAAAATAATACACAGACTGCATATCTTCCCTAACCGGAGACATCTATCCCTCCCATCTAACCCTTCTAATTCACCTATGTGTTTAAAATGTAAAACTGATGTAGGTACTTTGACGCATTGTATGTGGTCATGTAACAAGCTACAAAGATTCTGGTCCTTGGTGCTGGGGGGAAATGGAAAAGATCTTTAACATGCCATTGGATTTAGACCCAGTTTCGTTGATTTTGGGTATACCTAATGGACGCATTCTTTCATCGGCTAATAAGAAATTGTATAATATACTGACTTTTGCTGCAAGAAAAAATATTTTACTTAATTGGATTAGTGATAAATCTCCATCACTTAAAGGTTGGCACAAGATAATTTTTGAGTTGATTCCTCTGGAACATCTTACCCATGTTTTACAGAAAAAAACAGAACATTTTTTCAAAGTTTGGACTCCATACTTGGACAATTTGGAACCTAGTCTTTGCCCTATCATGCTGAAAGAATTATTGTAACTATTGTTTTCTAAAAAACATACAATGTTATTATTATCCCTTTTTTCCTGATCTGTTTAATGTGGGGTAGTGCTGTTTTATAGGTAATCTGAGCCTTTTTTTTTCCTTTTACATTGTTCTGTGTTGTTATTATTTTTGTTGTTGTTGTGTGAGTATCTTTTGAAGAAGTGTTGTTATGTCTGTATTATAGTGAAAATCCAATAAATATAATTATTTAAAAAAAACAAAAAGAAGAACTCAGCATGGCTGTGGCGTCATCTAAAGAAACTCTTAATTGGTACAACAAACACTTAGTTTAAATACATTTGATACATGAAGGTGGGGACAGTCATGGTGGGGGCAGTCAAACAAAGCATGCAACTAAAGTGTTGTTGTCGGCAGGGTAACATGCCTTTCCAGGCCCGATCTCATCAGCATATAAGTACCCATTCACGATACGTTTTAGCATTAAAACAGTGTGAAAATGATGAACATAGACAGCCGTGCTTCGAAACTAATAATTTGCATTACTTTGGAGACCGTCAGGGCTCAGGAAACCAAGACATTTTAAGGTCTGTCACACCCTGAAAACAACTATATTATATTTCCATAGTAACTTCGTAATTAATTCGGTAATATTTGCAAATATTTATAACATTTTGATTTAAATCATAGGAACTACTGCAGTATTATTTGTAGCATTTAATAATTAACTTATTACTGCAAAAACATAATCCCATTTAAAACACAATGGAGTTCAAAGTGTAAAATACTAGTCGAGCTGCTCCTGCCTTTACCTTGACCGTGATCATATAAACTAGAAATTCCAACAGTTCAGTCAAAGCAGGGTAAATCAGCCTTCAGCTATTCCTTTAAAACGGTTTTGAAAACATTTTAATCTGTTTTTAATTATTTTTAATTATTCATTGTTTTTATTTTCTTGCTTCTTTCATTCTTGTTTATGTAAAGCACTTTGAATTACCATTGTATATGAAATATGCTATTTAAATAAACTTGCCTTGCCTATGTTGATAGTTTTAGTTAATTTTTAGCAACAAACTTGCAATAATTTTAATATAACACATTTTTAATTATTTATTTTAACACTGTAAATGGTAAAGAAAGTAATTAATTTCTCCATTAAAATTCTTGACAGGCATATGTCTTGAAAACCAAATATGACATATGGCTTGAAACCCATCAAACCGTAATGTTCCTAAAAAAGCAGCACCTAAATCTATTCAATCTAGTCTTGCACAATTTTGAAGCAAGAGTGAGGGTGGAAGAGCTCAGAAAATGCAGCCGTGCCACATTCCAGTCCTTTTTAATTTCCATGACAGGTGGTTACGGCTGAATCATCATCTGAAACAATCAGGCCTTGTGAAGCAGTTTTGTTTGCAATCATGAGACCGAATGTCAGCCAATCAACAAGCGAGCTAATACAGCGAGCGCAGATGAATATCAAAAGAGTCCAGAAAAATGGCATGAGAGAGGAATGCCGCTCAGCGCTGCCCTTGGATCAGTTGCTCACCCTGTTTACGTTACTAATGTGATTCTGGCAGAGCAGATCAAACACATGAGGGAAAATGAGTCATGGTGTGCCGTCACGCTGTGCTGAATTCTCTAGAGATAGCAGAAACCAGGTCATTCAACAGCAAAGCAGAGGTTGAAGAGGAAAGAGACGGAATACGAGATGCTAACAGCTTGGTAATTGTTTGTGTTGGTCTTGGGTGGGATTAGAGGATGTGCTATGAAACACAAAGCCACACGGACACACTGTTATGCTGTGGTGAATGTGGTGAATAGTATGGTTATGCTGGTGCTTTATCAAGGAAACATACCAGTCCTCAAGTGGAACGTTCTCCATGCACGAGGCTGCGTTCTCCGAGGAAGCGGGAGTCTAAAAATAAAAAAAGAGATGGAGATTATTGTGTGCATTTTTATTTAGAGAAACCTTCAAAGGGTCGCGAAACACCAAAACACATTTTTTGAAATGTTGATAGTCATTTATGTGTCTCACGTTGCTATAGGACACATATATTTTACTAAAATGTGAAAATTGTTTTTTTTTTTTTTGTAATTTTTGAAGCTACGTCACGACGATGAGCTCATTGTGCAAATTCCAGTGTGACGTCATTGAGTTTTCAGCATTAATTCATGAGAAAGACTTTATTAATATGCATGATTAAGCTTAATCATAAAGATTTTGTAGCTACTACAACCGCAACAATCACTTAAAAAGAACGACTTACAAGGCTAAATTTTGAATTACTTTGGATTCTTACCAGATAAGAAAAAAAAAAAAAATGAAATGCCCAAAATAGCAACAGGAAACATAAGCCTCTTTCACACATACAGACCTTTCCGGAAAATTACCGCCAATTTTCCGGAAAGGTGTGTATGTGTGACCAGACCCTTTTTGAAAATAGCGGTAAATTCGTTTTGGCTATTTTCCGGAAAGAGAAGTTGTAAGATTACTGGTAATTTGCCGGAATGCTGCGCTGTGTGAATGCAGAAGGAAGATTGCCGGAAGGAGCGCGTGCACGTCTAGAACGTGCTGACGTGAAACGCCTGCTTTAGCCAATCAACAGTCAGAAGCATTCACGTCCGCGTGGTTTACGAGAATAAAAGCCTTTGAATATCTTACCAGACACATTTAGCTGCTAGATGTTAGTCAGATAACGTTCATATGTTCGTCTTAATGCCAACTCTGTAAATAATTATCGATAAGATGCTTATGATAAGCCATTGTTTGTTTACCTTTAAGCTTTGCGTGAACAAGTGAATGCACACACACATTTTATGTACATCTCGACATGCGAAAGTGTTTCTCTATATGTTTTCATCGGAGTTGTACACAATACTGATCCATCCACAGAGTTTGTGATGTAGTCAAATGTTTACAAATACAAACGTAGCCGTTTAGAGCTCATTTCTGGTTAATGATGTCAAAATTTACCAGTATTTTGGAATGGATGTGTGAATGCTCTTTTCCGGAAAATTTCCGTAACGTCCTCAACTGTGTGAACAGCGCTTTTTTTAATTTACCGGTAAAGTCGTTCAGGAAATTTTCCATATATTTACCGGTATCACTGTGTGAAAGGGGCTATGGAAACAATTTTTGACCACTTCATATAGACTAGTTTGCTCTTTTTGTAAAAAAAAATTTTTCGCTATAATTTGTATATTTATTTTACTGTATTTTTTTTGGTCAGTTATCTACAAAATAAACATATTTTGGGTGAAGTGATGTGCATTTTCAATAATAAGGGATTTATGAATTCAATTTAAGGAGGCCTATAAAGTCAAGAGATTACTGTTCATTTTTAGGTCTGTTCTGTTGATGTAAACAATAAAATAAAATAAAAAAAAATAATATAAAAAGTTTTACATACTTTTATTTACATAGTTAACCAAAAAAAATCTTATAATGTTTTTTCCTATTTTACATTTTCATGTGATTTAAACTTTACTCGAGTATCAAAATTAGCGCGTTCACGCACGCGATTAATTTAAAATAATTACGCGTAAAAAAAAATTTACGCAATTGACGCAGTTGCAGTTTTTTTAATATCCTGTTGTGGTCGATGTGTGTTCTACATGCAAAGAAATATGTATAGAACAAAGAAAGTGCTTGTAGAGGAAAGTTTCAGTCTAAAACAATTAATGTCGCATCACCTGGCTATCCAGTGTTTTCTCCAGCGTTTCATGCAAATTTGGTTGTTTCATTTTTAATCTTTAGACTTTAACTGCAGTTCAGCAGTTCACTTTCATTCAGCAACATATTGTTCATGCCCCGTGACAATTACTGGATGAAAATATGAAGTAAGTACTGCTGGAAGAGTGCTGTTTTAAAGGAATTTGATGCCGCATGGTAAACAAAAAGAAAAACTCTACATTTCGTGACTTGGGTGGTCTTTTAAGGTAATCAGAAATCGCTGCTTAAATGGTAGACTCTTAATCTTAATCATAAAATCAGAGTATTGGTGCCCATGTAAATGTACTCAGTGAAAGTGCCAGATGATGTCACAAGCTGTCAAAGACATCCTCTGCCTTTAAGATGAGTCTATGCACCTTCAAATGTTTCATTAAGTTTGACCTGTTCCCCCTTATCGCTCGTACACACCGATTTTCACTGACGTTGAGCAGAAGAGTATGCAAAATCACTCCTTGACGTTAGATGGCGTTACACAACTTGAAGCAAAAAACGTCTCGGTGTGCACAGGCTTTTACACGCAACTTTTGTAAAGCATCTGCTTCACGTTGCTGTTTCAGAATTCCTGCTTGTACAATATAGCCATACTTTAGAACGCTTAGTTAAAGCAAATTTGATGAACGCAATCATGTGCGTTGTCTGTGTGCATGTGTGCATTTTCTAGCAACAACAGCAAACGCCTGACATTGCTGACTTTGTCCAAAGTCTCTTTAAGGCATTCTATATGTATTCTATAGTCTTTGCTGTGTCTGTTATCCCTCAAAGCTGTTTAGAATTAAATGTTTAGAGATGGTGTGACCAAAGTCCCTGTAAAAAGTCTATAGCAGGGGTGTCAAACTCAATTTCTGGAGGGCCGAAGCCCTGCACAGTTTAGTTCCAACCCTGCTCCAACACACTTACCTGTAGGTTTCAAACAAGCCTGAAGGACTCAATTAGTTTGATCAGGTGTGTTTAATTAGGGTTGGAACTAAACTATGCAGAGCTGCGGCCCTTTTGGAACTGAGTTTGACACCTGTGGTCTATAGTCTTTGGTACATGCCTTTAAAGTACCCCATGGCCACGTTGTCCCCCAACCGGCTAAATGTTAAGGAGGACAGAGCAAAATTGTTTCTTCTTTACAATTAATGTTCTCAACTCGTAATATAACCTTACAATGAATACAATTATTTGTGTTCAATAATATTTTAATTATTACTTTAATATTATTATAATTTTCCCTTCTCCATATTCGCAATGCTTGTATTTTGGAATTTTTTTTTTGTAGTCCACTAAGAATTCAACATGGAAATTATTTTTGTTTGTTATTGGCATTGATTGTTTTGAAATTCAAATGCCATTAACATGTCTGTGTTTTTATTTGTGTAATAAATATTGCTTTTCGCGATTAATCATGATTAATTAGAAAAAAAGTGTGATTAATTAGTTAATTACACAGCCCTACTTTAGACACTTCATATATGTAACGTTATTGATTATTTCAATTTTAATGCCAGAAAATGAAAAATCTTAGAACAGCTTCAGGCATTATTTTGTGCATTATTCTTAGAAAGGAGATGTAAAATGGACATTCCTTTAATTCGTCTGGACAGAACAGCTTGTTTGTACAATCAAAACTGCTGATAAGAAGCAAAGCAGCTAATTCTACATAATTCAATTATTAACAGCATTAGAAAGCCGGAAAGGCTGCTTGGCCAGGAAAGAATCCATTGCTTCATCTGAATGACGCAAAAACTGAATATAATATGAATGAAGACTTCTTGTTCCTCGACAGGCTTAGCAGTATGGCAAGACTGTTTCTAAGAATCGTTAGCAAGGCATTCGGCTGTGGTGAAGTAAAGTGAATTGAGGAGTGTGTATTTGTGTTAATACTTTACCAGCTCCTGCAGAGCGGGCATCTCTGTTTCTTTTTGCTTTCCATCCATTTCTGGCATGTACGTGCAGTTGAGAAGGTTGTACCACTTGGTGCACCATTCCTCTGAATACTCCTCATCAGCCAAGCTGATCTGAGCACCAGCCTTTCAAGAGCAAAATAAAAAAAAAAATGATCAGATTTATTTTGATCTAGGCCTGTATTTACAGTTGAAGTCAGAAATATTAGCCTCCTTTTATATTTCCCCCCCAATTTCTGTTTAATGGAGAGAAGATTTTTTTCAACATATTTCTAAACATAATAGTCTTAATAACTCATCTCTATTGACTGATTTATTTTATCTTGCCATGATGACAGTTAATAATATTTAACTAGATATTTTTCAAAGGCTTAACTAGGTTAATTAGGCAAGTTAGGGTAATTAGGCAAGTCATTGTATAGCTATAGTCTCTTTTGTAGACTACCAAAAAAACTTGCTTAAAGGGGCTAAAAATACTGACCTTAAAATGGTTAAAAACGCTTTTATTCTCGCCAAAATAAAAACATTCTCAAGAAGAAAAAAATGTTCTAGGAAATACTGTGAAAAATTCCTTGCTCTGTTAAACATCATTTGGGAAATATTTAAACAAGAAAAAAAATTTACAGGAGGGTGAATAATTTTGACTTCAACTGTACATATAAGCTAGAGATGAACTGATTGACTGGCCAGAATTCAGAATTAGTTGATTTTTGCTTTAAATTAATGGTGCTTCAAGAGTTCACACTTAGCTGGTGATTGATTATTAAGCTTGTTTGGCATGCTATCCCGAGACAGAGCCAAGAGTTCATAAGATCCCCGAGCCCGGGGCTCCCTCCCGTTTGCAAGGCGAGAGGGGAGTTTAAGCTCAGGTAGATCTCGAGAACTCCCCTGCTGTAGTAACTAATGAACAGACAGTGGTTGCTCTTAAGAGATAACTACATACTAGGAGCATGTCTATTGTGCTGAGTTGGATTAGTCAATTAATTCTTCAGTAGGTAGAAACCAGGGAACCCAGGGGAAACCCACGTGAGCATGGAGGGAACGTGTAAACTCAGCTGAACAGTTTACGCACAGAAACGTCAGCTGGCTTGGTAAGGACTAAAACTAGGGATGTTCTTGCTGTGAGAAAACAGTGCTAACCACTGGGCCACCATGCCACCCATCTAGGAAAGGAGGAGGAGTAGGGGTGGAAGGGGGGATTCTTCAAAACGAAGATGGCTGTTATATGGAACTTTTGATACTTTTTAAATGTTTTTTTATAGTGGCCTAGGAATCGTCTGATTGGTGAATCATAAATTGCATAACGTGGGACCAGCCGCAAGCAATCATAAGCACGTGATCCTTTAGAAATTAGTTGATAAATAAACTTCACAAAGAGACAATTATTGGTTTTCTGGCTCATCATGCATACAAAATGTACTTCAATGCTTTTTTTTTTTTTTTTTTTTTATTTGTACACTAAATGTGTGTAAACAGTATTAACAGAGGCTGGATACGGTAAAGTATGTACACTGAAGTATGTACAGACATATAGTATTGTACCCATAAAAAAACATTCAATATTTAGCATTAATTAGACCAATCGTAACAAACATTGACCTTACTTCAGTGTCAAATTAATTATATAAAGAGTTGGGCACTTTCCTTTAAAAGAGTAGTTAGTTATTAGTTAGATCAGCCAACAGCCATGTCACCCTGCAGCCCAAGATCGGTTACTCACTGAAGCTAAGCAGGACTGAGCCTGGTCAGTACCTGGATGCAAGACCACTTGGGAAAACTAGATTGCTGTTGGAAGTGATGTTAGTGAGGCCAGCAGGGGGCGCTCAACCTGTGGTCTGCGGGAGTCCTAACGCCTCAGTAAAAGTGAAGGGGACACTACACTGTCAGTGGGCGCCGTCTTTCGGATGAGACAAACCGAGGTCCTGATTCTCTGTGGTCATTAAAAATCCCATGGCACTTCTCGTGAAAGAGCAGGGGTGTAACCCCGGTGTCCTGGCCAAAGTCCTTTTATCGGCCTTTACGATCCTGGCCTCCCAATCATCCCCATCCACCGAAATTGGCTCTATCACTGTCTCTCCACTCCACTAAAAGCTGGTGTGTGGTGAGCGCACTGGTGCCATTGTCCTGTGGCAGCCGTCGCATCATCCAAATGGATGCTGCACAGTGGTGGTGGTGTGGAGAGAGCCCCCCTCATGATTGTAAAGCGCTTTGGGTGTATGGCCATACACAATAAATACGCCATAAATACACATTACATTACATTACATCATTACATAGTTATTAGATCAGGCATGTCCAAACTCGATCCTGGAGGGCCGGTGTCCTGCAAATTTTAGTTCCAATTCAATCAGACACACCTGGGCTAGCTAATCAAGCTCTTACTAGGCGTTCTAGAAACATCCTTGCAGGTGTGTTGAGACAAGTTGGAGCTAAAATCTTTAGGACACCGGCCCCCCAGGACCAAGTTTGGACACCCCTGTATTAGATCCTTTCAAAAACAAACAAACGCGAGAGTGAATCGTGAAAAAACAAAGGAGAAGCCGAAAAAACAGCAGCAAATAATGCTTTCTGCAGCACTTTGGACTATTATGAACTGAAGGAATGACTTTCTAACATGAGTCTACATGTGTTGCTGAAGATTAAAGACACATATGAGAGGTTTGCACTGACTGTAAGCTATATTTTGTGTTGTTTTTGAAACCATTTCATTTTGTATCATTGATCTGAAGTTATAATTAAATCATGTTCATAGAAATGTAATGAACATTTATACACAAGTATGTATGTGTATAAAGCATCTGTTTTGTGAGATGTGCTTCTCATATGATATGTGAACCACCCATACAGCGCTACTGTGACATTTTCTTGAGTAAAAATGACGTTGTCTGAAACTTTCTGTCGTACATCGCGCCCACTAAAAGGGTACCCTTTTGGCAGTGGAATCGCATGCCTGATAAAGGTGACCAATACCGACCCGTACCGTACCTCTTAGTGAAAACGGGCCACTAATTTCACAAAGCTAATTCAAATCCCTACATTTTTACTTTACACTGTACAATAATAAACTCTAACAGATATTTAAAAAAAAGGAAAAAACAAATAAATGAATAAAATCGGAAATCAGAAGCGGCCAATTTGCTTGTAAAAAATGGAAATGAAAAAAAAAAATCAAGATCATGTCCCATATAATGCCAAACATATCACATTACTGACATTTAGCCATTTGCTCATTCTCTGATCTGACACTCACTAGACAGTGCTCGCGGCCTGATTTGCTGGTGGTGCAGACATCAATGCGCAGGGTCTTCTGTCGGAGAGCAGTGGAGGACACCTGCAGGCTAAACGCTTCCTTTAACTCTACGGGCTCCTGTGGCAGAGCGCAGTGTGTGCGGAACAGACACCGAACGGTCTCCGAGCATGGCAGAACCACCACGCGAACATATCTGCAACAGAACAAATTAAGGCAAGGCAAACTCAGATCACAGGTGCTCCTTTTCCATCAGAGACACATACATTCAACATTCTAAAGTTAGACAGAATTTGGCCAATCAGAGGATCTGAACTAAGCGGAACTCAAAAAATAATTTGAATTAATACAATGTCAATTCAAAGAGTTGTGATTCATTTCAAAAATTCAAACACCAGATTTGACGCATGCAACCTATTATTATTATTTTTTTATTATTTTTTTTATTATTATGCAATATACAGTGCATTCGGAAAGTATTGATAGCGCTTCACTTTTTCCACATTTCTATGTTACAGCTTTATTCCAAAATGGATTAGATTCATTTTTTCTCAAAATTCTACACACAATACCCCATAATGACAATGTAAAAAAAAGATTTTAATTAAATTGTTGCAAATTTATTACAAATAAAAAACCTAAAAAATCACATGTACATAAGTATTCACAGCCTTTGCTTAATACTTTGTTGATGCACCTCAAGTCTTTTTGAATATGATGTCACAAGCTTGGCACACCTGTCTTTGGGAAGTTTTGCCCATTCCTCTTTAAAGTACCTCTCAAGCTCTATCTGGTTGGATGGGAAGCGACGGTGTTCAGCCATTTTCAGATCTCTCCAGAGATGTTTAATAGGATTTAAGTCTGGGCTCTGGCTGGGCCACCCAAGGACATTTACCGAGTTGTTGTGAAGCCACTCCATTGATATTTTGGCGGTGTGCTTTGGGTCATTGTCCTGCTGAAAGATGAACCGTTGCCCCAGTCTGAGGTCAAGAGCACTCTGAAGCAGGTTTTCATTCAGGATGTCTCTGTACATTGCAGGTGTATGCCTTTTCAAATCATGTCCAATCAACTGAATTTACCACAGGTGAACTCCAATTAAGCTATTGAAACATCTCAAGAATGATCAGTGGAAACAGAATGTACCTGAGCTCAATTTAGAGCTTCAAAGCAAAGGCTGTGAATACTGTTGTACATGTGATTTTTCAAGATTTTTATTTTTAATAAATTTGCAAAAATTTCCTAAAAATTTTTTTTCACATTGTTATTATGGGGTATTTTGTGTAGAATATTGAGGAAGTAAATTATTTTAATCTATTTTGGAATAAGGCTGTAACATCAAAAAAAAAAAAAGAAAAAAAAAAAGAATTGCTATCAATACTTTCCGGATGCACTGTAAATGTGATTTTGTATGTACTGTATATTCTACAGAGCCGACTATTTATACTATCTTAACAGTTGTGGAACGTAAAGTGTTCAATTTTAAGAGATCAACTTAAACAATGTCAGTTGTTTTAAAGGCACTTATAGCCTACAACATCATACAAATAAGTTAAAATTGAAAGCAGACAAGACAATTCTTAACAGTAGGGATGAAGTTTTGCTGTTTCACTATTATGGATAAGGCTTGCTAAAAGTTATTATGACTGGCTATTTCATATACCATTATTTTTGTGAAAGCATTACTTCTTTGCTCTTTAACCTGAACAAGGAGTATAGATTTAAATGGTCACACTTTACAATAAGGTTCATTTGTAAAAGTTAAGTAATGCATTTACTAACATGAAAAAACAATGAACAATACATCTACTACTGTATTTATTCATGTTAATAAACATTAGTTAATGAAAATACAGTTGTTCATTGTTAGTACATGTTAACTCATGGTGCATTAACTAATGTTAACAAGCATGGACTTGAATGTTAATAATGCATTAGTAAATGTTCAATTATGATTAATAAATGCTGTACAAGTGTTGTTCATGATTAGTTCATGTTAGTAAATGCATTAACTAATGAACCTTATTTTAAAGTGTTACCATTTAAACATCAAATTTTTGTCTTAAATTGCTGGTTAGGAACTGTCCCGACTTAGATGCCTTCCCCTTATCAATTGAATTCAAAAGCTAAAATGTGTCAATCCGAATATCTAAAAATCAAGTAAAAATGTTGGTTTGTTTTCAACTTCAAGGAAAAAAGTCAAAATTAAAAGTTTTTTTGCAGCAACCGACTGGGTTAAATCCATTCATACAACTCAACATGCTCCTCTCGATGCTATATCAAAATTACATCTGACTGATTAAAATTAATGACTCTATCATGTTTAAATGAAGCTGGCAGGAAGAGAGCGCTTTCTCACATGTTCTGGTTGGCTGGCAGAGAGAGCGCGCTATAGTTGGAGAGCTGCATTACGAACACGGTGAACCTCTTCTCTTTCACTTCGTACTTCAGGCCAAGTTTGATCTGAGCGCTGCTTGCTGAGCTCCCGTCATCAAAAGCCAGCAGCTGCTCAACTGGAAGCCCAGGTCTGTGGAAATGAACAGAAGCATTTTACAGTCCAAATCAGGGATGTCAGTTTTTATAAATTCCAATGAACTGTGGCTGTTTAAATTAACAATAAACTAATCAATTAAATGTTAACCTTAATTTGGGACACTGAGTATGTTTACATAGACACCAATACTCAGATTTTTATATGATTAAGATAATACTCTGATTAAGAGTTGACCATGTAAACAGCGATTTTTGGTTACCCTAATAACTGACTAAAATTATAATCAAACTAAACAGAAATCTATTTAAGACATGTGGAGTAGGGTTGGGCGTAAGACGATGCCATCGTCCATCGCAGATAGCCAATAGAAAACACGTTGCTGAGCCGGTATCGCCAATCCTCCGCCCCGTCTCCGTTGCAAACCCATTCGCGAAACACTAATACGTCTTAGTATTAAAATGGCCTTTTAGAACGAAAATGATTCACATCCACACCGTGTTTTACCAAGCATTTCTAAACAGCCCTCCGTCAGCTGAAACGCACATCATGTGACAACACACACACAGCCACGCACACACACAGCCACACACACTGTCATGCGCTCATCTGAGCTCTAGTGAGCAGTGCACGTCGGACAGTCAAGGATGTACCACTGGATCACGTCTCACTATAGTTGTGAAAGGTGATATTAAATTAATCTTGTCTCTATCTTACGACTCTTTGGTCTTTTGAATCTATCAGGTAACGTGTCACAGCATCAGTACACTGCTTCAGTCTTTCACTTTCACACTTGTACTTAGTAATTTTAGTGAAAACCTCAGATACTGTTGGCTGTGCACTTTTTTTTACCGACCAACCTTCCGCTGAAAAAGTGATTGACAGGTGGTAATTTGTGTGCAACTTATCTTTATTCATTTATGATTTGTTTATGGGTAAAATATGCGGGTCAGGTAGTTAAACGGTAGGCTACAAGTAATTAATTCGTTATGAATTAATTATTATTCATAAATAATAATTCACCTCCGCCTATGACGACGATGCCATCGTCCATCGCGATGTTTCACATTAGACATCGTACGATGCCAAATTGGTCGACATCGCCGAACCCTAATGTGGAGTATGCCGATTTTAGTCACATTATTGAAGACATGTAAACACCTTACAGGGCTCGAAATGAACCTTTCTTCTTGGTAGCACCGGTGCTCCTAACTTTAAAAATTCAGACGCACAGGTCAAAATTTAGGTGCACCCACCAAAAATTATGAGCAAAACTATAATCCCAAATATATTTTGACTTCGCATAGATAAAATTTCGGGCACATATCCGACCAAAATGATCGCAATTTCGAGCGCTGTCTTAAGCAAACTATTACCGTTTTGTAGTACTTTTCACTACATTTTACGACAGGACACACACATGGCAGTTGTCAGTTGTTTGACGACCAAAAAAAGAAAAGCAAGAGAGCACTTTTTGGTGCAAGTGGGAAACAATGAGTACGTTTACATGGACACCAATAAGAGTCTGATTAAGAGTCTACCATGTAAACAGCGATTTTTGATTAATTTAATTTGATTAAGGTCCTAATCAAACTCACAATCAAACTATTACCAAAATGTACGATTTTCGTCGTATTTTGCAACAGGATAATATATATATATACACACAGCTGTTTGACAATATTATCTGCACCAAGTACAAAAATTCCACAGATTTCCTGAAATAAACGTTGAATTTTGAGATCCATGCAGCTCTTTGATAATGTGGAATGGACTGAATGGACACAATATTTCCACTTTCTTTTTTGAAAAGAGAAGAGAACAAAGCATAAATGGTTAAATTGCTTTGCATTTTTTCACAACTGATTATTTAATATGCATCGGTATCTTTGCATGACAAATGTTTTGAATTCTTTGAAGAAAGAGTAGAGAACCAGTGAATGTTCAACAACTTTACTAATACAAATCTTGTCTAAGAATTTAAAATTGCATAAATTGCAACTGCAAAAAAATAACTAAAAAAAATACAAGTGTGTCAACCTAAAGTGACCTTTTTTGGCATCTAGTACAATAGCCTGGTCTTTAAAATAAAATTTGAAAAGTGTCTTTTATATCACTGACTACGTTTACATGGACATCAGTAATCAAATGATTTACCTTAATCTGAGGAAGACATTAATTTGATTAAGGTGTTTACATGAGTTGCTTTTTGAATGTTCCTTTCATGATTCCGTTTTACATGTTACAGCACATAATTCGTCATTAATGACGTCATTGCTTCATCTCACTACCTACAGTGCATCCGGAAAGCATTCATAGCACTTCACTTTTTCCACATTTTGTTTATGTTACAGCTTTATTCCAAAATAGATTAAATTCATTTATTTCTTCAAAATTCTACACACAATACCCCATAATGACAATGTGGAAAAGAGTTTTTGAAATTGTTGCAAATTTATTAAAAATAAAAAAACCTGAAAAATCACATTTACATAAGTATTCACAGCATTTGCTCGATGTGTTGATGCACTATTGGCAGCAATTACAGCCTCAAGTCTTTTTGAATATGATGCCACAAGCTTGGCACACCTGTCTTTGGGAAGTTTTGCCCATTCCTCTTTGCAGTACCTCTCAAGCTCTATCAGGTTGGATGGGAAGCGACAGTGTCCATCCATTTTCAAATCTCTCCAGAGATGTTAAGATTTAGGTCTGGGCTCTTGCTGGGCCACTCAAGGACATTCACCAAGTTGTTGCGAAGCCACTCCATTGATATTTTGGCAGTGTGCTTTGGGCCATTGTCCTGCTGGAATATGAACCGTCGCCCCAGTCTGAAGTCAAGAGCCCTCTGCAGCAGGTTTTCATTCAGGATGTCTCTGTACATTGCTGCATTTATCTTTCCCCCTATCTTGACTAATCTTCCAGTTCCTGCTGCTGAAAAACATCCCCACAGCATGATGCTGCCACTATCATGCTTTACTGTAGGGAGCGCATTAGCCTGGTGATGAGCGGTGCCTGGTTTTCACCAAATGTAACGCCTAGCATTCACTCCAAAGAGTACAATTTTAGTCTCATCAGACCAGAGAATTTTGTTTCTTATGGTCTGAGAGTCCTTCAGATGCCCTTTGGCAAATTCCAGGCGGGGAGTGGCTTCCGTCTGGTCACTCTACCATACAGGTCTGATTGGTGGATTGCTGCACAAATGGTTGTACTTCTGTAAGGTTCTCCTCTACAGACAATTCCTTTGTCTTTATGCTTGATTTGTGCTTTAACATGCACTGACAACCCTGGGACCTTATATAGACAGGCATATGCCTTTCCAAATCATGAATTTTGAAGAAATAAATGAGTTGAATCTATTTTGGAATAAAGCTGTAACATAAAACAACGTGGAAAAAGTGAAGTGCTATGAATACTTTCCGGATGCACTGTACATTTCCTTTGGAGTTTCAAGTAATTCCAGGTGTTTCATTTTTACTTTCATTCAGGAACATTTCATGAACGTCAGCCGTGACAAACTAGATATTGGATGCGAGTACGAACTGCTAGAAGAATGTAGTTTTAATGGAATTTGATAGTGTAAGCCGTATGAGGACAAAAAAAACTCAGCATTTTGCAATGCAGGTCTCTCGGTAGGTGCAAAAAATAGTCAAACAGCTGAGTGTTTAGACTATCCTGTCGCAAAATGCGATGAAAATCATACACGGCGGTAAAAACATGTCTGTGATGCACTTCAATAATGTGATTAAAATTGGCATATCCACATGTCTTAATCCAATCTCTATTTAGTTCGAATATGACCTTGAGCATTGTCTTAATCATATTAAAATTGGATTATTAGTGTCCCAGTACATGTACTCATTGATAAGTTGTGCAGATAAAATGATTACTCAATTAATCATTAGCCAATTCATCAATTTGTCATTTTAAATACAAATCCATAATAAAAGGTCACAAATTCTGGTATCCTACCTTTTCTCCGAGGGCTCGTATACACCGCTGTCACCTGCAACCGATTCGTCAGACACTGCAGATGTTACCCCCGCTTTCTTCGATCCAGGCCCGGATCCTCTTGTTTGCGTAACAGCATCTGCATGCACAGAGAACAGTTGAGTAGAAATGAGACACGAGTCACTCTGGATTGGTGTCAAGTTTCGACTGAGTTCACCTGCTGGGCTGTGGGGGGGAGTGAGCTGTAAATCTACACTATCGGACTAGACATTCAGAAAGCTGATCTGGATTCAGCTGGAATTCCGGGCTGCTGATGAGTAATAAAGGGTGCCCATGATGAAGATAAAGACTTTTTTTAAACATATTTTATACCTTTTCAAGTAAAATTTGAGAATATTTTGTTTTCTACAATTGTTATGTGTGTGGATATACAGTTGAAATCAGAATTATTAGCCGCTCTGAATTATTACCCCCCTGTTTATTTTTTTCCCAATTTCTGTTTAACGGAGAGGAAATTTATTCAACACATTTCTAAACATAATAGTTTTATTAACTCATTTGTAATAACTGATATATTTTATCTTTCCCATGATGACATTAAATATAGTAAATACAAGACACTTCTATACAGCTTAAAGTGACATTTAAATGCTTAACTAGGTTAATTAGGTTACCTAGGCAGGTTAGGGTAATTAGGCAAGTTATTATATAACGATGGTTTCTTCTGTAGACTATCGAAAAACAATATAGCATAAAGGGGCTAATAATTTTGACATTAAAATGATTTTCAAAAAATAAACACTGCTTTTATTCTATTCAAAATAAAACAAATAAGACTTCCTCCAGAAGAAAAAATATTATCAGACATACTGTTAAAATGTCCTTGAGGCCGTGAATACAACATTACATGAAGACAAAAATGGCATTTTTGAGGTGAATTATACCTTATAAATACAGTATGTGACTCTTTCAACACCATTGGTGTCCACGTTGCTGAACAATGTATGTAAAACAATGTGAAGACATGCGCGGCTGCCTTTGCTTCTCTCCTGAACTTGAAAATATGATTGGTAGAATCGTAGAAATGCTGGCTTAAGATCGTCTAGCGGGTCAAATCGAGATCGCAATCTTGTTTTGATTAATTGTGCGACTCTAATGCTGGGTAACAGGTAAAGCTGTCAGATGAAAGAAATCATTTATTAAAAATGCAATATTAAAAACCATTATGCTCAGAAATATGTTTGAAAAGTCTCTCAGTTAAACAGAATTTGGGGATTTTTCTATAATTACAAAATGTATTAAATTAATTTGAAAAAGTTTAAATTTAAGAGGAGAGCGAATGGAACTAAGAGCTAAAAGACTTTAACTGTAATAAACAAAATATGCAAAGTACAAACAACAAAATCACCTGAGACTAACCGATTTCTCCGCTGAATACTCAATGAACCTTTTATTTTTATTCTTACTCTTTTTATTCTGTTTATTCACTGGATTATTACTATTGAGTCACATCACTTCAAATTTTACAGCCTGAACATATTGTTGTAATAAATTTTAAGATCTGCAAACAGTCATGAGGGTTTGCCTGCAAGAGTTATGTCTAGACCAGGCTATGGGCTATGGCACCAAGCGACTAGAAACAGAATCCACTATAATCAGTAAACCCTTATTTCTATTTCAGACAAGCTCCAAACACTACTGACAGAAGGACTAATGGATCTGCAATGGTGGCGTTGTTACATCCAAGTTTCCAGCCATGTCTGATGTAGACAAAGGGTAACATTTTGCATCAACAAACCTATAAAACTAGCTTATCTATGCTATAGTAAATGACTGTTACACTGAAAAACTACATTAGGTTATACAAAGTTTAACTTAATATGTTTAGTCAGTTTGATTGATTTGAGTATGTCTAGAAAAGTTAATTTAGTTACCTTAAAAAATTACTGCTTTACAGTTTAGTTTTATGGACTATTAGTATGCTTTTATTTTACACAATGTCCAGAGAAATGCTTTACAGGCAAATATGTTCTGTATTCTAAAAAGGAATTTTACTAAAGCACATTTTTAACATTTTTACATTATCAATGTTTTTTATTTGCCCTTTAATGTGCATTATGCAGGTTTTTGCTTAGATTGTATGCACTATAGACGAATTACCAGTTTGTAAACATTCAAGATGCGCGAGCATCGAGGTTGCAGAAAAAAACAGAAGCACTAGCATTTACAGTGAAGAATTGACATCCGATATGGTACAGAGTTTGTTGTTGCATTAGAGATAAGTTATATTGATAACATATTATGTATTTGGATCATGACCGAAAGGACAAGATCTCGGATACAAGCGGCCGAAATGAGTTTCCTTCGAAGGGTGGCAGGGCGCACTCTTATGGATAGGGTGAGGAGCTCTGACACCCGGGAGGAGCTCGGAGTAGAGTCGTTGCTCCTCCACATCGAGAGAAGTCAGCTGAGGTGGCTCGGGCATCTGTTTCGGATGCCTTCTGGACGCCTACCTAGGCAGGTGTTCCAGGCATGTCCCACCGGGAGGCGGCCTCGGGGAAGACCCAGGACACGCTGGAGGGACTATGTCTCTCGGCTGGCCTGGGAACGCCTCGGGATCCCCCCGGAGGAGCTGGAGAAAGTGTCTGGGGATAGGGAAGTCTGGGGTTTTCTCCTAAGACTGCTGCCCCTGCGAACCGGCCCCGGAAAAGCGGTAGAAGATGAATAAATGAATGAATTTACATAATGCTTTCAGCGTATTATAACAGCTTGTCAACCAGTGATAAGCACAGTTATTCAGCAAAATTAACGTTAAAATGAGCGGCGTTCATCTGACAGGTCCATTTGCGATAGCACACTGCCAATGGATTTTGGATAAGATGAAATGGCCAAGCATTCAGCCCAAAATATATAACTATCTCATTGAAACTCCAAGTGATTTTACAAGAGAGAAGCTAAAGGCCTACAAGTCTTTGAATCCCAACAATTTTGTTCTGTGGTCATGTGCAAGAAACAATGTTCCATGACTACCAGATTCAAAACTATGTGGTGCTAAAGACCCGAAGGTCTGCCTAGCCAAAGACAAGGAAAAAAGACAGAACTGTGCAAGGCCTGAGTAATCATCAACAAGCAAAACAACTGCATTCTGACAGCGAACTGTATGGCAGGGTTCGTGAACTTAGATTTTTATATTTCATTCTAAGTATTTAGTGTCCGCAGTTTATTTAACCATATTTAACTGTTTTTGTAGAAATCATTGCTGTAATTAAAAATGAGTAATGTGTATAATTCAGCATTATTTTACCTAAACTCATATAAAATGAGAACAGAGTCTAGTATTTTTAATTAGGTCCTTACTCCATTCAGCTCTTATGATGGCTGTTAGCCAAAGACAGGCACGTGCACACATAGGGCTCAACTTGTGTAGTGCACATCCCCTTTTTAGTGTTGGATTGAAAGTGCCCTTCCAAAATGATCAAAAGTGCCCCCATGGCACCCCCCTCCCCCCTCTACCGCCCTTCAGTAGGCGCGCGACAACACCGCTCTTCAGTACGCGCGCGACCCCAGGTCTTCAAAAAATAAAAAATAATAATTTTCTGCACATGCCCTTTGGACAGTCTCTGCACGGGCCTGGCCAAAGACGTCTGCAGTTGGCATTAAAAACAGTGTGGTGTACGGTAAAATTTAAGTTCTCTATTTTTGGACTTGCAATTTTGCCATCCTACCGCACAACAAGACATGTTTGCTATTGCAACTGGTCTTTTTTGCAACAGCTATGCGCGGTTGAACCCATGTGATGTCATGTGTGATGTAGGTTGGTAATACCCCTATATACACAAATTTATCATTTCCTGTTACAGTGTTTGTTACTTTAAATTCACAAATGTAAATATAGCAGAATTTCTGTTTAAAAATATATCCCAGGTTTACGAAACTAAAACTTTAGGATAGATATAATTTTAATCAGAGCAAAATCAAATCAAAACAATATAATATATAAAAATCTCAATAAATTGCCAAATTGATCAGAATGCCAGCTCTATTTGCACCTTGTGGTACACTTGGGAATGGATTGCCAAAAATGCATCTTAAAATGTTAATTCCAAACCCCTGAGACTTTTGTTCATCTTTGGAAAACAAATTAAGACATTATAGATGTTTTATCTGAGAGCTCCCTCATCCTCCATACACAGGAATGGTCCAAATTAGTTACACATTACTGCACAGTGTGCATGAATATGCGCAATATACTGACACTGAGGGGTAGAAACTGTTGAACAAAGTCTTTATTTTTGTTTTTGGTAACAAAGAAAAACAAATTTGTCTCTATTTTGAGGATGCATATTGGTAATTTTTTCAACTTTGAACAACTCGCAAACCTTGCTGTCTATAAAAGTTTAAGACAATGTCTTCAAACTAAGACATTTTTGGTATTTTATCTGAGAACTCCATCATCCTCCATAATAAGCAACTGTCCCAATTTGTTATATTTTACTGCACTGTGCGCATGAACGTGCGCAATATACTGACACTGAGGAGTAGAAACTGTTGAATAAAGTCTGTATTAGTGTTTTCAGTTACAAACAAAAGTATTTTCGTAGCTTTGTTACATCTGTAGCTCTGTTTTGAGGATGCTTTTTGGTACTTTTTTGGACTTTGAACAAGTCGTGAACGTTGTTGTTTTTGGAAGTTTAAGACAATGTCTTCAAATTAAGACATTTTTGGTATTTAATCTAAGAGCTCACTCACCTTTCATAGACATCAACGGTCCCAAATTGTTTTAAATTACTGCACAATGCGCATGAACGTGCGTAATATACTGATACTGAGGAGAAGTACCTATTGAATAAAGTCTGTATTTTTGTTTTCAGTTACAAACATTTGTACATCAGCTTTGTAATATTCATTGACTTGGAACAAGTCTTGAACCTTGCTGTCTATGGAAGATGAGAGAGCTGTAAGATTTCACCTAAAACATCATGATTTACTTTTTCATAGACAAATGAGGGTCTCGGGGGTTTGGAAAGACATGAGGGTTAGTAATAAAGAATCCAATTAAAATTTTTGGCAGAAAAATTACCCTTGGTATTCATGGACATACATTAACAAGCGTTCAGCGGATTTGATTTTGAGTGTCGTTTGAAGGTTGTGCCCACATACCTTTTGAAGACTCTACAGCCATAATGCTTTCTTGTTTGTTGTCCTGGTAGTTCAGCTGCCCCTGCTGTTGGTCCTCTTCTAACCGGAGCTCCATCAGCCTGGTCTGCAGATCTAAATCCAACTGTGAGGCCGGACCAGAAAAGACCTCTCCCGAAAGGAAGGAAGCCTCAGTAACAAGAGGAGAGCAAGGAGGAGACAGGGAAGACAGTGAAGAACGTGGGGACAGTGAGTTCATTGAGTGAGGTGTCTCTGACAGTCGCAGAACTTGGGTTCTTTGTCCCACCCCGGGACCACCCCCGATTTGCACAGACGAGGATGAGACCTCATTCTCATGGATGGTAGTGATGGAACTAGAAGGCCTGTAGCCAGAGGTGCTTCCCTCCTGCAAAATAGAGTCCAGTTTGTTCTGGAAGTCAGGATCGCCTAGTTCGGGTTGCTCCAGGTAGACATCGGTGAAGCTGAGCGAGGAAGTGGAGCCCAAGCTGGAGTTGGCCAGGGATCCCCGACTGGACGTCAACGATCCACGGCTGCTGCCCGAGGAACATGACAGAGTGCTGGCTGACAGACTGGAGTTTTGACATTGATGGAAAGAGACAGAAGGAGAGCAGGGAAGTTAATCGGAAAGCAGCTCCGGTTCATCTCTATTTCAAGCCTCTACATCAAACGCATCCTGCTTTAAAGCAAACATGCTTCTTAAGGCACGACAGGCTCGTTAGTGAGACACACAAGAGACTGCTCCTCTGTGCAACAGGCCCTTTGATGTATCTCAACTAGACGCCGAGGATGAATTAGGCATTAGTCATAATAAGAAGTAAGGGCAAAGCTATTGTTAAAGTTAACAACAAGAGCTTTCGGGTGGCATAGTTTTAGAACTTCAAGAGTCTGATTCTTTAAATAAGGCTAAGCAGTCTTATTGCAAAGTCATTACATCATATATAGTGGCATGCAGTTTCCTCTTCATTCTATTAATTAAATCTGCAGCAAATTTTATCTTAATATTCACACTATTAAAATGTGTTTAAACTTGATGCGCAGTAAACCAGCGTCATATATTTTTTCCTGTATTTTACATTGTAATTACACTAGTGCATTTTTTGTTTTAAACCAAATACATTCAAATAAAAAGGATCCTCATACATACTTGCATTTTTACTGTTTCAGAAAAATGATCTCCATATACACTATACAGTGTAAAATGCATAATATGCATAAAATGTTATTCACGCTCTTTGGGTATGTGCACATTTTTGCCACTATTCGCACTTCCTTTGTACCAGTTGCATTTGAGAGTGATTTGACGAACCCAAGAACCATACACAATAGCCTAGAACAGGGGTGTCCAAACTCGGCCCTGGAGGGCTAGTGTTCTGGAGAGTTTATGTCCAACTTGCTTCAACACACCTGCCAGGAAGTTTCTAGTATATCTAGTAAGAACTTGAATAGCTAGTTCAGGTGTGTTTGATTAGGGTTGGGGCTAAACTCCCTGGAAACCTGCCATCCAGGACCAGGTTTGGACACCCCAAGCCTAAAAGACCAGTCAAAGAGTTATTGTACAGTACATCTGCAAAGTATTTATAGCTCTTCACTTTTTCCACATTTTTTTGTTACAGCCTTATTACAATATGTATTAAATTAATTTATTTCCTCAAAATTCTACACACAGTACCCCATAATGACAATGTGAAAAAAGATTCTTTGAAATTGTGCAAATTTATTTAAAAAAAACCCTGAAAAAGCACATGTACATCAGTATTCAAAGCCTTTGCTCAATACTTTGTTGATGCACCTTTGGCAGCAATTACAGCCTCAAGTCTTTTTGAATATGATGCCACAAGCTTGGCACACCTGTTTTAGGGAATTTTTGCCCATTCCTCTTAGCAGTACCTTTCAAGCTCTATCAGGTTGGATGGTAAGCAACGGTGTACAGCCATTTTCAGATTTCTCAAGAGATGTTCAATAGGATTACGGTCTGGGCCACTCAGTTCCTGCTGCTGAAAAACATTCCCACGGCATGATGCTGCCACTACCATGCTTCACTATAGGGATGGTATTAGCCTGGTGATGATCGGTGCCTGGTTTTCTCCAAACATAACTCCTGGCATTCACTCCAAAGAGTTCAATTTTAGTCTTATCAGACCAGAGAATTTTGTTTCTTATGTTCTGAGAGTCCTTCAGATGGCTTTAGGCGAATTCTAGGTGAGGATCGGCTTCCGTCTGGCCACTCTACCATACAGGCCTGATTGGTGGATTGCTGCACAGATGGTTGTCCTTTTGTTCTCCTCTCTCCACAGAAGAACGCTGGAGCTCAGACAGAGTGACCATCGGGTTATTGATAACCTACCTTACTAAGGCCCTTCTCCCCCGATCACTCAGCTTAGATGGCTGGCCAGCTCTAGGAAGAGTCCTGGTGGTTCCGAACATCTTCCACTTACGGCCCATTCACACGGGCATCAGCGTCAACGCTTGACTGAAGGCGTGTCTGAAGTTGGGGCTAAAGCGATCATCATAGCAGCATCAGCCAATGAAATTCAGTAAGCAGTACGCCACTGTCTAGCAGGTGTATTTGCACACAGCGATCTGATTTGCTGACCCTTCCGTCGGTGCTTGAAAAGTTGAGCTAGTCCCAACTTCTGCAGCGAGCAACGCCTCTGAAGTGGCACCGACAGATCCACAATGCAGTTTGGCAACGCCTGACATCACCCATTCAAAGTGAATGGGAAGCGTTGACGCTGACACCCCGTGTGAATGGGGCATCACGGATGATGGAGGCCACTGTGCTCATTTGAACTTTCAGAGCAGCAAAAACTTTTCTGTAACCTTCCCTAGCCTTGTGCCTCGAGACAATCCTGTCTCGAAGGTGTACGGACAATTCCTTTGTCTTCATGCTTGGTTTGTGTTTTGACATGCACTGTCAACCCTGGGCCCTTATATAGAAAGGTGTATGCCTTTTCAAATCATGTCCAATCAACTGAATTTATCACAGGTGAACGCCAATTAAGCTGCTGAAACATCTCAAGAATGATCAGTGGAAACAGAATGTACCTGAGCTCAATTTAGAGCTTCATGGAAAAGGCTGTGAATACTGATGTGATTTTTCAGGTTATTTATTTTGAATAAATTTGTAACAATTTCAAAAAATCTTTTTACACATTGTCATGATGGGGTATTGTGTGTAGAATTTTGAGTAAATAAATTAATTTAATTCATTTTGGAGTAAGGGTTTAACATTTAAAAAAATGTGGAAAAAGTGATGCGCTATAAATACTTTCCGGCACAGTAAAAAGCTGCTCCTTCATTTTCAAAAGTCTGGGTTTTGATTTGTTTACACTAAACACCAATATTTCCAACTAAATCAAGGTGTTCCGCCAATATTATAATATATAAAGTGTTATTTGCATTGTCAGGGTTTTTTAATCTCAGGTTTGGAAGATACCTTTTCAGCTGGGTGTGCAGAGAAGACGCCACCCTCACCGTCTCTTCCAGTTCCTTCACTAGTTTGTTTCTTCTGTAGTGCAGCCTCAACCTAAACAAAGCAAGAGAGAAAAAAATGATCATTGCTCATTATTATGGTTTATAATTTGAACAAAAACATACCTCCTCAACAAAGGCTTGGTGAAAAATTTTCAAAAGCAAAAAAAAAAAAAAAAAAAAAAAAAAAAAAAATATATATATATATATATATATATATATATATATATATATATATATATATATATATTTTTTTTTTTTTTTTCAAATAAGTATATATTTAATTAACAACTTTTAATTCTTGCAAAGTTCCTACAGAATAAAATAGTTCAAATGAACTCAGTTTAGTAATTAACCAACGTCTCTATTTTAATAAAATGACGCTGGTTTGCTATTAAACAGCAGTGCTGAAGAAGGTGCTCATTGTATTCAACCTAGATCCAGCGTTTGTGCGGCTCAGGTTACAGGAAGAGTGCAGACGCCAAGCTAAACGAGGATACAGTATCTAGAGTAGAGAACAAGGACCCTGTTCAAATAACTGAGAGAGAGCGAGTCAGAATAAGATCAGCAGAAAGAGTGAAAGAATGAAAAGCCTAATTGGTTCTCTCACCTGGGCAACCTGATCTCATTATACAGTCTTTTAAAAGTGCAAGAGCAGAAGTGGTAAACTGGCAGTCAAGCAGACTATAATAAATCATTTGCATGCATGACTGTCAATGCCTGCCATTTTAGGCAAAGATTTGCAAAACCCAGCAGCACAGTAATAATGGCTGGGACTTGCAGCAAAGTAAACGAGGGACAAAAAGTATGCTGGTTTTGCATAATGCAAAATTTTGTCTGCGAACGGGCTCGGCACATCAAGTGGACATTTTTGCATTTTAAATAGGAGTTTCGAGCTGGTTTTGATGAATAATTATTGAGCAGACTTTTCTTGGCACTGAGCCATTAAGAGCACAGCTGTAGAGTCCCAGATGGAAGCCCTGATGTGGCTGCACAATAATGGCATCTTTTAGGGATGCAACGGTTCTCTGTAAAAAAAAAAACTATTGTCTTGTTGTTCTCCCACGGTTGGGTGCACCCTGTGATCCGCGGTTCAGAATATGCATAATTAATATTTACTTGTTAATTAAAACAATTGCAACACAGCTGTTTCGCCTTTGTACATTTCCGATTACTTTTCACGCTCACTGCATGTGCGAAGATCTGTCCAATCACCTCTTAGTAAGTAAATCTGTTGTTGACATCACATTTCCTGTCGATGTTGGTGTGTGCGTGTGGAGTTTCTGCAGTGTTACCAACTTAGTAACTTTGTCGCTATATTTAGCGACTTTTCAGTACTCCTTAGCGACAAATTTAAAAAAAAAAGCGACTAGCGACAAATCTAGCAATTTTTTGTGTGTTACTGGAGATTTTTATAGACTTTTATGTGTCTATACTGTACCGTCTTACTCTTCTCATCGAGCAGAGTGTTATGCTTTTGGAGAGCACTGATAGGAGGCCCATTCCTCGTAAGGGGGCAAGCAAATGCTAAGAAGCAAGAACGGGACCTTTTGTATACCCTTCATTGCTGATTTTGGGGCAATAGCCGCATTTCCACTATCGGGCCAGTGCGAGCCAGGGCTTTTATCGGGCCGGGCCAGGCCAATCGCCCGGGAGGTTGAGTAATGAGGCCGAAATCATGTCGTGTTTTCACTGTCGGACTGGTAGCTCGCAGAGCGTCACGCAAACACCGCCCCAGAACGTCCCCCGAATCAAACGTCACACGACCCGCCCACTTCAGCGGGAATCAGGCAGATAAAGCACACCATAGAATCATCACGAAACGAAACCATTAAAATGAAGACAACCGAAACAAACAAATGACACGTTACTACACAGCAGTACATTATATGTCTACACGCACAGACCTGTGTATTTCCATTCATTACATTTGTTTACTCACCGACTGTGGGCATTGTGCATCAAGTGCTCTCGCCACTAACGGAGGGACCCATCACAGTGAGCGCACACATCCATAATATAAAGCCACAGAATTTCTCCGTTATAACTCAGTATGAAATGTATTTTATATCATCCTTGTTTTGATAGTTGTCGTGTTAAGTGTTTCAGCACAAGAGCGAGTAGCAAAATATAGCCATATTTGTGGCGCTCAGCAGCTATTCACTAAAGCTCTTCATTTAAAGTTTCATTTATAAATTTGACCACATCATATAAAAACAAACACTTGTTTGAGGATATAGAACACATTTTGTGTTTGGACTTTCCCCCAATGTGTTTAAAGCGGCGCTGCGCAGGACTGAGTGACAGAAAAAAGGTAGGCTAGATTCTGCTTTTACTCACCCAAAAATACTCTGTTTGCACGATTTGATTAATATCATCGTATCCAAATACTTTATAAATAATATTTCAAACCTTCTCTGGTGTTTATTGTTTTTAGAAAATATCTAAAATCTTTTTTTTTTCAGATAGGTCTTTGTAAAATGAAAGTTAGGCTATATGTGGCTTTAAAACGGTTTGATTTATGTATTGTATATAGGCTACCTACATATAGCTAGCTTTTGTTTATTTTATATTGGTTTATTTATTTAATGCGATTTTATATATATCCGATATTTGTAATTCTTTAAATTATATTTCAATATAGCTGAAGCTATTTTATCAAGATGACACTATATTGTTAAAAGTCTACGAAAGTGGGCACGTAATTTGTTAAGTTTTATGTCGTTCTGTTGTATTTATATTGTGTATTATTTTCAAAATAAAGAAAGAAAAAAAGCCGCTCGCAGCATCAATAGAGCTGTGAAGGGAGCGCTCTTGCCCGGTCTCACACACACACACACACACACAGTCATTTAAACTCGCACAAACACACTTTTTAAACTTGACAAAAACTCTCGAAAACCTTTACTGTGCTTTAATATGGTGTAAAGATTATTATGCGTTATTAAAACATAAAGGAGGACACAGCAAAGAATGTCACTATAAACTAAAACTACTTTATTATTTTATGCAGCAGCCTTACATTTAAAAAGGAAACATAAGGGCGATCATACGCAAAAAGACCCCAGACTATAAGGCTAGATGTTTTCTTTCCCTTTTATTTATCTATTTATTTATTTATTTGTTTGTATGGCGCATGTACTCATGTGCGATCAGAAAACTGCCCGCCTCTCCTTTCACTCCGCCCCGAAGCCCCAGCTGGCCCTCCTTGGCCTAAGGTATTCGGCGGGCCGAAAAAGGGCGGCCGCTGGCCCCAAGAAAGCCCCGCTTTGGCCCAATTAGGCACCGGAAGTGACAGTGGAAACGCGACTGGCCTTGGCAAGTGACTGCCAATACGAGCATAAGTAAAGCTCATATGATTTTCTCAGAAACGGTGACAGATAGAGCTGTGAACCTACACTGGTCGGTTCTGTTCGGTTACTATTATCATGCCATCGATTCGGTTCAATTTGATATCTCGGTGCATCACAGTACATTGACGGTGCTTTTCATTAGCAGTTTTATATTTTCTTCAAAATATGCAGGTGTAAGTAATATGAATCATCCACATATCTTTTGCGACTTCATTATCTGAGATGTGAAAAGCATGGAAAAGCTGCCTGAAGACAAACAGTGCAGTCCCGTGCGCGCACACACATAAGAGACATGAACCTGCTGGTGGAGTGTGTGTGTGTTTACAGCAGTTTGACTGATAAATATGACTTTGTAGCTCAATCATTTGCCCGCAAAGCAGCATTTCCCATTGTTTACATCATTGCTACAGCATATTGTTAACACTAGACACTGTACATGTTATCATCAATTTTAACTAATAAAAACCCTTACTTGTTGTAGCTTACATCTTCTGCTTAGGAGATTTTAGCCGAATCCAGCACTGAACTGGAAGAGATTCTGGAGCTGTTTTGTCAAATCATGCGTGCTGTGCATTTTATAATTCTCTGGAACAGAATTAATATTGAACTGTAAGCACTTCTGTCTTTGTATCGTGTCTTTTGGAAGGCCAAAAACAGAAACAGACGAAGCTCTGTGGAAGCAGCCATGCTTAGACGCATTTTTAGCTTCATCTCTGCTATAACGTTACAGCGCCTCTGCCCACGGCCCTTACCTGCATGTGCAGTTTGGATGCGCAGTAACGAACTTTTGTAATCTCACAGGGGGCGGAAGTATTTTTTGTAGTCCCCAAAATTTGTTTATTGTAGGCTTTGCTAAGCTAACTCTGTAAAAACCAAGGTCTCCCTTTGCATTGAACTAAGAACTTTTTACATTCAGAGATGTCATTTATGTTCACACAGCTACATTACACATCAACTAAAGTTTAAAATATGAGATCATAGTGGACCACCCCTTTAAAACAATTTAATATTTACAAAACTATAATTAAGGAAGAAATTATTTCTTTGATTATTGGAAAGGAACATTTGAAACTGTCGGTTTACAATATACTGATACGCTGTTTTTCTAGGTTTTATTGGTGAAAATGGTCAGGAATGTTGGTCTATTATTGCCTTTTTAGAATAAGCAGAGGACAGAAACTAGCCAGACAGTAATGTGTGAATTGTGGTGCGGCCTAAATCTAAAAAACAAACTATATTTTTTTTAGCAAGTGTACTTTTTCTGCTTTTATTCTTGCCATAAATATATATATATATATATATATATATATATATATATATATATATATATATATATATATATATATATATATTTGTAGAGCAACTCATGTTCTGTTGTAATTAAAATTTTAATAAACTTTAATAGAAAAACTGTCCAAGATATAAACAAAAGCAAGTGATGCATCAAAGGTTGATTTAAAAAAATCTTGAATGGTTATAAAAATACTTATAATCATTCATTAAATCATTTTCTTTTCAGCATAGTCCCTTTATCAATCCAGGGTCGCCACAGCGGAATGAACCGCCAACTTATCCAGCACATCTTTTTTACACAGCGGATGCCCTTCCAGCCGCAACCCATCTCTGGGAAACATCCAGACACACTCATTCACACACACTCATACACTACTGACAATTTAGCCTACCCAATTCACCTGTACCGCATGTCTTTGGACTGTGGGGGAAACCGGAGCACCCGGAGGAAACCCACGCGAACGCAGGGAGAACATGCAAACTCCACACAGAAACGCCAACTGACCTAGCCGAGGATCGAACCAGGAAACTTCTTGCTGTGAGGCGACAGCACTACCTACTGCACAACTGCGTTGCCGACCTTGTAATCATTCAAATAATGTAGAAAAATAATTAGTTAAAAATATTGAGTGATATTAATGATATGACCTAGTTCCAGAAACATTCTACTTGTTTGTTTAGCCGTCTGACTTTACAGTCAGTTTCTTTTGACCACCCCCTGTCATTTTAAAAATATCTCAACGGCAAACGCGACATGTATAAAAACCTCCGCTTTGTGGGGTGTGCACGCACTCAGCGGAGGTACGTGATGCGGTGCCAGGTGAAACTATAAATACAGCTTCAAAATGACGACAGGCAGAAACAAAGTCGCTTGTAGTGTAAATAAGGCTGAAAGCGTGCATATCTACATTTGAAATAATAACTTTGAGTTTTTGAGGGATTACAAATTTTATTAGAAATTTGGTGCTTCCATCACTTATTTCTTATGCGATAAGAATGTGCAAGGAAATGTGATGGAAATCCTGCTATTGAAACATTGTAAATACCGAATGGCATGACAGTTCACCTGAAATGGCCAGGCTGGCTAATCTAAAATTAACCATGTTTATAGTCAGTTTACCATCAGATCTGAAAAGACTATGGCTTTCTTTTTTGAGCAAGAATGACATCAATTAAAACTTTCTTTAAGGGAACTTCCAAGTAACGATACTATTGGCAGTGGTAGGGTACTTCCAAGTAAGGGTAGAGTTGGCAGTACAGATGCAAGCCTGATCAGTGTCACCCGTGCCGAATCTTTCTGTACTAAACTGTATGACTACGATTCAATAGAAATGAGGCAAATGATTTATGATTGAATCTTTGTTCCAGTGATAAATGTTTTTCTTGTAATCTGAAATGCAGTGTGTAGCCTTTAAGATCTACAAATTGTAAAATTGGGATCATTTCAGAACAAAAGGACTTTAAGTTAGCCAGAAAACTTCTGGTGAAAGGTTAGTGTGATTTTCAACTTCATGAAGTTCCTTTAACAGCATTAATAGTTGAATATGCATAATCTGAACAAAGTCAGTTAAATAGACCTAAAAATTCATTTATTTGTTAAACCGTAAAATTGCATTTAAAGACATTTCACTTAAGTGCTGTGGTGGAGAGCAGCTGGGCACTGAGATCCGTCATGTACAGGACATCCACAGAAAACACTTGGTTTATATTTTAAAACCGTGGCATAATGTCGTTCGGTGCAGTGCTTCTTGGAATTTTGTCTTAATCATTCAGTGTACATCACTAGCCAAGTTTCCATGAAGTGAATCTTTTCAAAGTTTGAGTTAGCAAAAAAAAAAAAGAAACAATGCCAAATGAAAATAAGGTGTGTTTGTAATTATTGCAAGTTATTAGAGCAACTCACTGTAGTATTGATAACCTATACAACAGATTTTTTTCACAATTTGGAATTTCCATTATGCTGCGTTCACACCTTACGCAGAAGAAGCATCAAGCGCAAGTGATTTACATGTTAGGTCAATGCAAAGATATGCTCAAATGAAGCGGCGGGAATAGGAAGTTTTGCACGACTGATGCGCGAATCGCTCAAATTGGAAACTCTGAACTTCAGCGGACATTTGAGCCATGTTAGCCTATCAGGAGCTTTGACTTGTAAGGGCGTGCTTATGACGTAGTGCACGTTGTTGGTGTCCTGGAGGGAAATCCTCCTGCCAACACCAACAACAGTTGATTAAACTGGGCTCGGCTCAGTCGGAAGCACCGCTGAAATCTTCCATCATCCATGTATAGTTTCTGGAGGAGTTTATGAGCTGGATGCACCTCTGAAAGGATCTAGTGGACTCAGACACTGCTCAAAATTATTCAACGCTGTTTATCAGCCTTCATAGAGCACATAGATACAGCTATTCTCTCAATTAAATCCATGTTAGCCATTTAGCAACAAAGCTAGAGTCATCGGGCAGACAGAAGCCCTGCTCATGATGCAAATCCACGTCTATTGCTCAGTGAATCTGACACGCAAATTAAGCAGAATTGACATGCAAATGAAGCGAGTAAACTAAAAATGTTCACGCTTCTATTTACGCGCGAATAACGATATTTATCCTTGTGTACCACTGTGAACACAGCATTACTCGTTTTTCATGCAATACTTGTCTATAAGATGCTTGTAAATTTGCTTGTAAATGTGATGGAAATCAAGCTATTGATTTCGAACAAGGTAGATCTTAAACGTTGTGAATACCAAATGTCATGACAGTTCACCTGAAATGTCTAGGATAGCATCTAAAATTGGATCTAAAATTAACCCTGCCTATAGTCAGTTGGCCACCAGATAAACACTACATAAACAAATGGAGCTGGCCAGGTTAATCATCTCACCTCTCAGTCAGTGCTTTGCTCTGGTTGTCCCGTGCAGCTTGCAGGTCCTTCTCGAGTCGTTTTTTCTCAGACTCGATCTTCTCTGCCTCATTTGGTGCACGTTTGCACGGCCTTACATACTGCAGTTCCTTAAGCAGCTCTTCCTTCTCATTGATGAGGATCAAGCGATCTCTCTCTGGGTCCAGCAGGCCTGGCCATGCCTCGCTATCCAACTTTGCAATCTGGACTTCGATATTTGCAATCCTGATTTAACAAAGAAATAAATAACTGACAAAATTCTTCACTGAAATTTGGAAGAAATATTATGAGCCCTTTATAGAATAAAACAATTATGAACTTTTTACACAAATTCAGACCTAACAAATCCAGTAAATCCAAAGTAACTGAGAATTTTAAGGGATCTCTTAATTTTCTCCATAGCTATCTATATAATATTTGTCTATATGTGACCCTGAACCAAAAAATTATGTTGCACGGATTTGTCCATTTTGTCTAAAAAAAACATACATAAATGAAAAGCTTATTGTTTAGCTTTTTTTAGGTGACTTATATAAAACTCTACCACTTATGACTGATTACATGGTCCATGTTCACATTTACATACATTGTCATATTATTTACAGTGCATCCGAAAAGTATTGATAGCGCTTCACTTTTTCTAATTTTTTTATGCTACAGCCTAGGGCTGCTCGATTATGGGAAAAATCATAATCACGATTATTTTAGTCATAATTGTAATCACGATTATTCAAAACGATTATCAGTTATAGTCAAAATTATTCCCCCTTCTGTGAATTTATTTTTATATATAAATATTTCCCAATTGATGTTTAACAGAGGTTTTTTTTTTTTACAGTATTTCCTATAATATTTTTTTCTTCTGGAGAAAGACTTATTTGTTTTGTTTCAGCTAGAATAAAAGCAGGTTTGAATATTTTGAAACCTATTTTAATAGCTCGATATTATTAGCCCCTTTAAGCAATATATATGTTTGATTGTCTGCAGAAGAAACTACTGTTATACAATGACTTGTCTATTTACCCTAATTAAGCCTTTGAATGTCACTGTAAGCTGAAAATCTTGAAAAACATAGTAAAATATAATGTACTGTTATCATAGCAAAGATAAAAGAAATCAGTTATTAGAAATGAGTTATTAAATCTGTTATGTTTAAACTGCGCTTTAAGCATCTTCACTGTATTTTTCATTTTATTACTGATTAATGATAAAGACAGTCGGCAGCAGCAGGAATATCGCACGCTGTCTCTTTAAGAATAGTGCGGCTCTGATATGGTTTCTCTTTCTCGTGTCTTTTGATTCTCAACTTGTTTGTTTATTACACAAATGAGGGTTAATATGAATAATCACTAAACATCGCGCTCTGATACAAATGTGCATGTATTTCACCATTAAAGCGCTCACATTAAGATCGCGTTAGATGTGTGTGCGATCTGTTGTCCGAGGCTAAGTGCGGCGCGCGCGCAAACACACGCACACATGCTACCTGTCCGAGGCTAAGCGCGGCGCACACACACACAACAGCACATGCTCTTTTGCGCTTTTAAAAATATGAATGATGCGCATCCTGTGCTGCAAAAGTTACATTACAGCACATGCTTTTAGTCATTTTCACGTGGAACTGAGCTTTGCAGAGGCTTCACTGTAGGGATGGTATTAGCTTGGTTTATGAGGTGCTCGGTTTTCTCCAAACATAACTCCAAAGAGTTTATAACTTTAGAGAGTCAAATTTAGTCTTATTAGACCAGATAATTTTGTTTCTTATGGTCTGAAAATCCTTCAGATAGCTTTTGGCAAATTCCAGGTGAGGAGTGGCTCCGTCTGGCCCTTCTACCATACAGGCCTGGTGGATTGCTGCAGATATGGTTGTCCTTCTGTAAGGTTCTCCTCTCTTCCCAGAACGCTGGAGCTCAGACAGACTGACCATCTGATTATTGATCGCCTCCCTTGACTAAGGCCCTTCTCCCCCGATCACTCAGCTTAGATGGCTGGCCAGCTCTAGGAAGAATCCTGGTGGTTTCAATCATCTTCCACTTACGGATGAGGGAGGCCACTTTGCTCATTGGAACTTTCAGAGCACCAGATTTTTTCGTAACCTTTCCCAGCCTTGTGCCTTGAGGCAATCCTGTCTTGGAGGTCTACAGACAATTCCTTTGTCCTCATGCTTGGTTTGTGCTTTGAAATACACTGTCAACCCTGGGACCTTATATAGACAGGTGTATGTCTTCTCAAATCATGTCCAATCAACTGAATTTACCACAGGTGAACTCCAATTAGGCTGCTGAAACATCTCAAGAATGATCAGTGGAAACAGAATGTACCTGAGCTCAATTTAGAGCTTCACTGCAAAGACTGAGAATACTGATGTACATGTGATTTTTCAGGTTTTTTATTTTTAATAAATTTGCAACAATTTCAAAAAATCTTTTTTTCACATTGTCATGTGTGTGGAATTCTGAGGAAATAAAAAAAAAAAATTTTGAATAAAGCTGTAACATTAAAAAAATGTGGAAAAAGTGAAGCGATATCAATATTTTAGGGATGATTCAGATTTCGATTTGATTTTAATGCACTGTAAACTTTCAAGCTAAAAAGAACATAACTAGTTAAATACAAACAATAAAATTCCAAAGAAAAAATTACCTTCTTTTCGCCTCCTCATATTTCAGGCTCAGTCGTACCTTCTCAGCCAGTTTATTTGAGCTTGATACAAACTTAAATAAAAAATAATTACAATAATTAATTATAATATATATATAATTAAATAAGTTATTTAATTCTACAAATGAATCATCATACGCAAGCACATAAAACAGAGCGCTGCCTCTTACCTGAGCAGGTATATCTGTTTGGGACTCTGCGTCTGAATAGAGTCGGGGGAGTGAGAGGTTAGAGTTGGCCAGGGACGGATTGCTGGCCCACAGGTCAGACTGAGAGCCATAATCTAACTGGAAACCATCTTTCAGCACGGCCAGTTTCTAAAAGAAAAACACAATAATCAGCCACCCATTAGATTATGGATAATTTAAGTACTCATTTAAATGGGGTCAGAAAATCTATGCCCTCTGTTTAGTGTTCTCTGACATTTGTGAATGGAGAACTCCTTGCAAGCGTGATTCAGTCGTCTGACACCTTTTGTGTTAGAGAGAGCTTAAAATATCCATCTGATTATTAAAATAGTCCCCAGACGTGCACATTTGTTTGTCCATTGTTTGCCTGACCATTCTTGAATTAAAATCTGCATTTGGATCCGTTGTCCAGCGTCCATTACAACTACGTGGAATTCACCATATATAAAACCAGTGTAAAAACACTTGGTTACATGTGAACTGAGTAATTCCAGCATACTGTAGGGAGCAGGACGATTCACATATTATAAAGCATATGTGCTTTGATTGAAGAAATGATCTGATGAAAAGCTGAAGAATTCCGTCATACAAAACAAATGTTGATTCTTATTAACTGAAGTGAGAAACTGCAACTGTGGTGTTTTCTAATGCTTATATCTTCTAATATTTTGTCTTTGTTTTAGAGCACACTAGGTTATAGATAACGTTACTCATAACATACTGATAATAACAACACAAACAATTCGATAGGATTTGAAATTATAAGCAGAGAGTGGACGAGAGGCTACAGGAATGGAAGTTTATTCTCAGGAAAGACACAAGACGCTATGAGTGTTCACGTTACAGATGAGCACCCGCCTGATGGAGGAGGTTTGCCAGCTGCAGCGGGTGACATGCATTATTTAGCATTGCCTGCCTCTCCATATGCTTGTTGTACAGTGAGGAAACGACAGAAATAAATAAATGGATGCAAGAAATGAAAAATGGGGTCAACTCGCAAAGGGAAAAGGCTCCCCTCTGAATGCTTAAACATTAAAGTATGAGGCTGTGAACACTCCATCTACATAATGACCACCATATCAATAGTTTAGGTCTAGCAGGTTTAAATGAATACTTATATAAAGATGCACAATATGTTAGTGGCTATATTGATCTTGGCTGATAAATGTTATTTTTATAGTTATCAGTCCGATAAAAGAATTACGCCGATATCTTTAAGAGGATAAATTATTTATTTTTTACTGCTGGTTGAAACTTTTAACATGTTTACTGCCTACCTTTTTAAATATTTTAAAGGGTGTTTTGATTTTGGTTAATGCTCAGTGACTTTATGTGACTTGATGCATTTTTTGTTTGTCAGGCAGTAGATTTTTATTATTTTAAGTTGGCCTTAGAAAAGAATAGTTGATGAATAACTGAAAGCTTAGAGATTAGTTTAAAATGTAAAAAACAAACCTGTTGTTTACTATATGTTTGCGTTTTGATTTTGCAATCATGCAGAAAGCTGTAAAAAAATTTATATTTATACTTATCAGCTAAAATATCAGCTATTGGACAGTTTTTGTGTAGCATTGTACACAAAAAAATATGCATTAAAAACCCAATACTTGACAGTGTAGTATAGAAACTCCACCGTCTACTAGTGTTTTAAAAGTGTTATTGCTAAAGAAGCAGAAAGAACTCTTGGAACTGTGATATTTTTATCCAAAGTTATCATACCGGCCCATGCCTAATCGATATTGCTATCGGCCTCTAAATCTAGATAGTTATCGGCTATCAATATCGGTCAAAACTTCCAAATCGGTGCATCTCTGATTGCTACACAAAATTTATCATTTGAAATAAAAATTGTTTATTGATAAATAAAATGCATCATAGATTTTAACGTGTTTTAACTTTAAAAATATAAAGAGATGCAGCAAATAACACTGATTTCTAAAGGATCATGTCAGACTGCACATCACACCTCTCCTCAGGTCTTTACACTGGCTCCCAGTTACATTCAGAATAGATTTTAAAGTATTATTACTTGTCTATAAATCACTAAATGGCCCAGGACCTCAATACATTAAAGATATGCTCACTGAATACAAATCTAATAGATCACTCAGCTCTTTAGGAGCATGTAAATTAGAAATTCCAAAAGTTCAGTCAGTGCAAAGTGAATCTGCCTTCAGCTATTATGTCTCTCGCTGCTGGAATCAGCTTCCATAAATGATCAGATGTGCGCCAACATCAGGCACATTCAAATCAAGACTGAAAACACATCTGTTTAGCTGTGCTTTTACTGAATGAGCACTGTGCTACATCCCACAGATCGCACTATGTTTTTCTCTTCTTTTTCATTCTTTTTTAAACACATTTTAATCTGTCTTTATACTATTTGTCTTTATTTTTTGTTTTATATACGTGTTTCTTTTATTCTCGTGTAAAGCACTTTGAATTGCCACTATATATAAAATGTGCTATATAAATAAACTTGCCTTGCCTCAAAATCTCAAAAAAAAAAAAAGTATGAGGATTTCTTGAAACTTTAATTTGGCAAGTTATTGAGCAACTGTGGTTTGTTCTGTAGCCAGTTGAAAAAAAAATCTTAGCTAGGCGGCTAAAAGGCTAATATGACAGGCTAAAATCTAAAGGGTTAATAATAGGAACCCTAAAAATAATATTATTAACTATTTTTTAATTAAAAAAACATTACCGTTAATGAAGATATATTATTTAATCTAAATAATATTCTTTTTAATCAATTTCTTTAAAAAAAGTTGAGTTCAGGTCAGATTTATTAGCCACGCTTTGAACTTTTTTAAATATTTCCCTAACAACGTTTAACAGAGCAAGGAAATTTTCACAGTATGTCTGATAATATTTTTTATTCTGGAGAAAGTCTTTTTTTTGTTTTATTTTGGCTAGAATGAAAGCAGTTTATAATTTTTTTTAAATTATTCTAAGGTCTAAATTATTAGCCCCTTTAAGCTACTTTTTTTTTTTTTTTTTTAACAAACCATCGTTAGACAATAACTTGCCTAATTACCCTAACCTGCATAGTAAACCTAATTAACCTAGTTAAGCCTTTAAATGTCACTTTAAGCTGCATAGAAGTGTCTTGTAAAAGATACAGTAAAACATTATTTACTGTCATCATGGCAAAGATAAAATAAATCAGTTATTAGAAAGTTATTAGAACTATTATGTTTAGAAATGTGTTGAAAAAATCTCTCCGTTAAACAAGAATTGGGGAAAAAAATAAACGGGTGGGCTAATAATTCTGACTAACTGTATATACTTTTTTTCTTAATATTAAATTTTAAATATTAAATAATATTACATTTTAAATATCAACTTTTATAGCTTTAAGAGTCAATATATCCACCAATAAACTGTAAAATAAAATTTGATTATACGATTTCAGTAGGAAATTTGAAGAGGCAGCAAGTCTAAATGTGTAAACAATACATGAGCAAACACAATTAAACTCAAACCATCCACTAAACCTGTACATTACGGGAACGATGCAAACAGTACAGTCAAATATTGTCTTTAGGCCAACATTCAAAAGCAGCAAGTTAACAAAACATTATGCAAACAAGTAGACTTCACACTCCGCAATGCCAGTGCAAACACCTAACGTGAAAACAAACAGATCTTCACATTCACCCATATCACATAACAAGAACTATTATTATAAACAAATAATCCACTTGATACTCTTTTGGGTTTGAAGATCTAGTAAAGTAGTGCACAATTAGTAATGCGTTTTATCCTCTTTGAAACTTTTTTCAACATTAGAACGTCTTGTTTAACTTACAACCCCAAATCAGAAAGCATTAGGATAGTATGGAAAACGGAAATTTAAAAAAAGTAGTGATTTCCAAACATACTTTGACTCGTATTTCATTGCAGACAATATGAGCACAAAATATTTTATTAGTCTTGTCTGGTCAATGCAAAACCACATTCTGTACACATTACAAAGACCTGGCTGCGGAGGAGGATACATGTTTGGCTGGCCTGCCTGCAGTGCCGATCTGTCTCCAAAAGAGAATGTGTGGTGCATTTTTAATTAGTACTTGATTAGTACTTGATTTAATTAGTACTTAATACTTGTTGGCAGGAAGAATGGGACAAAAATTGCACTTGAATTTCATCACTTACTGTCTTAAGCCCCTAAATGTATTTTCAGAGTTGTGAAAAGGAATGGCAAATGCTTTACTGTTACAACTTTTTTTTTGTAATGTGCAGCAAGAACCAAAATTGCAATATGTGTTTATTTTGAAAAAATAAATAAATAAAAAATAATAAAAATCATCGGGAATACATTACATCATGTTTTTTTGTATTGTCTGCAATGAAATACAACTCAAAGTAAATTTAGAAATCACTGCTTTTTATTTATGTTTTCCATATTGTCCCAACTTTTTCTGATTTGGGGGTGTATAAATTTACAATGGTTAACTTTATGTATCTCATTACTTTGATATTGTATTTTCACAAAAGTCAATTGAGAGATTAAATTTGACACTTGCCTTAATATTATTTTTATTTGTTTAAAATCCCTGTTCCTAATGTAATTTGGTGTGTACACCAAAATATCCATAACCCAAACTAATGTTATGAAAATTTGTACTTGAATAAAGTTGAAGAAAATCCATCCAGGCCCAATCCCAATTCTACCCCTTAGCCCTTCACCTAAGAGAATTGGGACACCCCTATACCTTCATGTGAGCGCGCAAAACGATGGGTAGAAATATGTTAATTCTCTTTAGCTTGAATGTGTAGGGCTAAGAGGAAGAGGTACATACAAACTGCGATTTTTCAGGACCACACTCAAAACCGAGGAGTAAGAAAATTTCCCCCGCATTTTGCGCTACGCCACTGCACGGAAGTAAGGATCCACAAATTAGTATTCTTTTGTCATTATTACGAATTTTTACAACAAACAAGTACATGTTTTAATATATATTCATAACAGCGCTCGTGATTTATCGCCATGCTTTAAAAAACAATGCTAAAATGACAACAGCTAAATTTTGATATCTATAATCCATAATCATAACTCCTGTATAGCAGTTCCACTACATTCTGACACTTGATGACACATATATACCCTGTCAAAAAAGTCTAGTGGC